AAATAGCTTACTATTAAAATAAACATTAGGAGAGTTACTTTTTTATCATACATATCATATAAAATGTTGTTTTATCGTAACTGAAAATCTTTAGTTAGAAAAACTGGGCGACTGATTGAAACAATATTTGAGCAATTTATAGCTATAAATTATTTTCGTCATGCCGTAAGTATTTTCACCCAACATGGTGAATTGTAATAAAAATATTATAAAAACCAGCACGAAATATGTGATTCATTCTTTTCTTACTCTCAAACCCAAAAATACCATATTTCATACATCCATCTCCCTCAGTGATGCTGAGTACAACTCTTCATTCAGTGAGAAAATTGTGGAGAAAAGTAGAAAGTTCGGCATGGGAATATGATTTATTAAAATGGCTCTTAAGAAAACGTGACTTTTTCTCACAATGACACGAATTCCTATAGTTTGCCTTTTTTATTCCCTCTCCTTCAACTTTTCCTTTATTGTTTCTTGCTTATTTCAGTAGCAAAAAGCTATCTTTGTTTTGCTGTAATGTCGTTTAAAATTTGGGGCCAATTTTTGGGGAAGCAGTTACAAGATCAATCTTCGTATAATGCTCACTTTAAAAAAATAACGAAAAAAATGACATGGCGGTATATTGCACATCTGCGTTGCTCTGGTGATGATTTATTGTGTTTTGAGAAAGTTACTTGGTAAGAACCAAAATGTGTTTTCATATCTTTTCTTTTAAAAAAAATATTAATTGCTATCCATATTGGATTTGTGAATTTATCAATTTAATTAAGCATCTTTATACTTTTTAAGCCAACTCAGATACATCCGGGGAGGGGGGGACTAATCCTCATTGGCATATCAAAAACAAATGATGAAGAAAAGCTCGAAATCTGCCACGATTAGCAACCCTGTGGTAAAAAGATTCAAACCCATGATCCCGTCAACCAATGAGTGTGTTTTATACCATTAGCTTGCCCAAGTCAAAATTCTTGATGGACCCATCAAATCATTTTGATGGTTTATGTTGGTTTCAGTGCGATTCATGAGGGTCCAACATCATTCGATGATCCCTATCATCCAACATTTTCCATTATGCGTTCATTGTTTTTGATATGCCAAGGAAACTTCCTTCACTCCATGATGAAAAATGCTAATTTAATACTATGATGGTTAACCATCAAGAGAAGTTTGATTCTCTTGGACCAGCAATCCATGATGGTTCCAACTATGCATTTCCATAACGGTTTAATGGGAATTCTTGTTGGTTCTCAAAAATATACCATAATTTTTTTTTATTTTTTATGTTGTCCCATCATAAATCAGTCCTAATTCCTACATTGGGATGATGGTGGTTCATGATCGTTCCAACATTTGCTTTCTAAAAAACTATGATGCAAATTTCTGATGGTTTAATCTGAACAAACCATCAAAACAAGTTGCTATTTTTCTGTTAGCCTATTATAAATCAGTCTAAATTCCTGCATTGGGGTGATGGTTACTTATGTTGGTTATCATCAAAAATATAATAGTTCGTGATGGAATTATTGATACTTACCATCAAGGTTATGTTAGTTCATCAATGGAATACCATCAGAAATTTTGATTTCGTTGGCGTTGCTATTACTATTAGCACCTTTAGACGCTAACTCATAACCCTTTATCCACTAGGTATTACCCGGCGACATTTGACCGGCATCAATTGGACACTACCCCATAATTCGTCGACATTTTTTCTTCTGTCAGCATTGTAGTTGGTGTGCGCCAGAAACAGTATTTACGAATAGATCAATCATTCCTTCGATTTAAACCTGGATCGCTACCGGGGAAACTCTTGGTAGACCTTTATTGTATTTTGGGTCGATTTTGGGTGAAATATGACAGGTCCTTTAGAAAATAAGATCGCTATAATCTTTGCTTAATTATACTGATTACAGCATGAAGGAAGAATTCCTTTTAATATTATCAGAAATGTACTTACGTATTAACAGTCGACCATTTTCGCCAAATCTGAAAATAAATTTGGAAGTGGTTCAAATTTAAATATTATCTAATTTTTTGTGCAATAACGCGTATTGTATTTTGTCAATTTTTTTTAATCTATTACTATATTAAAATAAATATAAAAGACATCAGAATGACTCTGATGGGATGTAGGCAAAAATAATGATCGACGAGATAATAATATGTAAGTACCTAAATAACTTCATAACTGGAAGTAATTGAATGTATGTTTTTGTTCTTTGCAGTAGAATCTAATTAAATATTAATTAAAGCATTATGCTTAAAATAGCTCTTTTTTTAAACTAATGGGATACCTAATAGTGACATTGTGTGGGTATCTCGATCCTGATTGGTTGTTGAAACGATGAATTTTTTTTTTTTATATTAGCAAATGTGTTTTCCATTTTATTTCGAATTAGCCGAAGCCCATCAAGTATCAATTATCTTGAAGTGAGACATTCTATGTTATTTCAAATATCTCAATTATTTTACCATATATTTTTACATTAACACAAAGGCATGAAGCCATGTAGAACATAAACAAACCAATTATGCATCTAAGTTGTCAGGTACACAAATCAAAAAAATATCACAGTTACAATAAAACACATTACAAATAATAAATTTAAGTTAAGTAAAGGATGTAGACAAGAGAGACTTTTGTTTCGACAAACTCGATGTGCCATAGGGAGCTGTATTTAATTAACTTCATGTAAATTAACATTCTAACTTATGTGGGGAAATTAAGTTCAACTTTAACACGCCATTTTCCTTATGAACCATCAGTTGGTGCTGACGTCATAGGTCACGTGTGTGGGTATCTTCTCCTTGAAGTGCATTCCAGTTCCAACTAGTGTTCCCAATTCTTGGATTTGGAAAAACATTCTTGGATTTTATATGCAAAATGAATTGCTCGAAATTAAATAAGCAATTGCGTATAACACAATTTTACATTGTGTAATTCAATTTATTGTATGCTATGTCACAAATCAATTTTGTTTACCTTAATTAGACAAACAGTTAGATTGGGAAAAAAATATACCAACCATTTTTGTTAGGAATTTTTTTATTTTGATATGTTTGCAATTTTTTTTTCTTGGGGAGCGGGGGTTCATTTTCCTTTAAAAAAGATATCAATGACTTGGGCAGTCTTCTCGGAATCTCCCGGGGGCCCTTTTTTGGTCCCTGTTCGGCCTTGTATCTGGTGAATAAGAACAAAACACGAAGAATGGATTTCCTTTCCTCTAACTACTCCTCTCTCGTAAGATTCCATTTCTTTTCATATTTCCGCTAACAGAAAGCATCTTTGTTTTTTCTGAAGTCATTTGAAATATGGGGCCAGATTTAGGGAAGTTGTTTCAAGATCTATCTTCTTAAAATGTGCACTTTAGCAAAACAAAAGAGAGGTGACATGATTGTTGATTCTGCATCTGTGTGCTATCCTGACAATCTCCTTAGGTTTGAAAGCTCTGCTAGAGGTGTTTTGACAATGCAGTGCTTCTGAACCTTTCTTTTTGTCTCATGCGCCCTACTTGACAAAATTTGCTACAAGATCATTCCCATTCCTAATTTGAAAAATTTAAATTTTCTGATAGATTTTCATACGTAAGTTGTTGGCCTTCAGCTATTGTCATTTATTTAGTGAGTCTCAATTATAGTTTGTTGTTACTATGACGACACTTCGTTTTTTCCCCTATTATGTAATAGAGGAACGTGGTGGCTCAGGGCATAGAGTGCTTACCTCGTAATGATGTGACCCGAGTTCGAATCCCAGAGATGATCCATTCATTCATCTATAGATCTTAATTTTGACCTGAACCAGAGAACGATAAATCTCCACTTCAGTAGTACCCCCAGAGGTATTGATTTGTTATGGAAACTTAGAGGACTTAAAGAGCACCAGTCACCATTTAATACACTGGGTTTTTTCGGCCGACTGGATTTGAAGTCCCGTTCTCACGAACACGAGCCCAACGTCCTATTTACCAGGCTTTCCATTAAATATAATTTTCCCAACTGGGAAACTATTGTAGATAGCATAGAACAAGATCTGAGGAATATGAGAGATGTTTAGTGGAAGTTACATAATGTTATTCGCTCCAATGGCGTCAGAATTTGTATCTTTCCTGTTCTTCTTTCGATAACATGAGAAGTTTTTCGGTCCTAATTTTAGTCAACTTACGACATATTTTTGTGCTCAATGTTTTTTATTATGTCGCTTATCAGTTCAAAAGTTGAACTGGTAGCTCCTTGGTTTGGCTATAATTTTCGTTTAGTTTTGCTAAAATTCCGTTTCTGGTTACTATGATATTCTTTGCTGTATTTGCTTTCAATGACATCACCTCTGGATTACCGCAACTTTTGTTTACCGTTATGTGATTGGTTCTTGGCTTGTTTTCATATATATTGATTTATTTTCAAATCTCCAACTATAAGAGGGTCCCCGATAGAGACTGGAGATGAGATCGGGCCCGCTTTTGGAGGTCCGTGGCCGAAGAATTTTAATCTGAGCCTGAGATACATAGGATTACTCAAATCTTGAGTCCAAGGCCAAATTTTGGGATCTCGCCTCTCAGCCTTTGTTGTCTGAAGAAAATCTTAAAAACTATTCTATCACTAACCTATGGAAGAAAAAGCGAAGATAAAAAAGGAACCAATTGCTCCAAAATGACTAAAAAAATTTAAAAAAAAAGAAAATCAAAACCTTAAGCTAAATAAAAGTCATTTGATAATTAGTGTTAGCCTCACAAAGCAAAAGCGCTGAATAAAAGAAGCAGATCGCTAACATTTTTATACCTTATAAATTTTATATTTTTCTGTACTTAATAACAGAACCAAACGTTTGTTTAAAAGTAGTAAAAAATGTGTATGGAAATTTTATCATGAATCTGGTTCTTTTTTTAAGCTTTCACTAGTATTATGGAAACAGAATATTTAAATTAATTATTTTGCAGCGAGTAATTATCAATACTCAGATTAATTCCGATTTGCTAACATTATTTTCCACTTTTTTTGTTTAGCGTCCAAGAGGTCTTCACTTGGTTGTTCGAAGTTGAGGAAGGTGCCGGTTACAACGACAATGGTCGGATCACTTGGCAACTGCGGTACATGCTGGACTCAAGTATGGCTGAGCAATACGACTTCGACGATGACAATGCCAAGATAACTTCTCGCCTAGACATCCATAAAGATGATGTACAAGCAGTTTTACCTATCGCTAAGGTACATTATTATTTTCATTTTTCTAATTTAAACATTCAAGATTTAGTTATGCGAATATTAATATGCATAGCCGTTTTAGCCTCTTCAGATATGATTTTTTTTATGATGAGAAAAAAAAATACTTAATTTTTTATATTGATGCATTTTGTACCAATTTTAACCGTCGTTGAACACTCAACCCAATTTTGAGTTTATGATTCTTAGTGTTCAACTACGTAGCCTTCCTTTTTTTTTTTTTTTTTTTTTTTTTTTTTTTAAACACAATTCAGAAGACAAGGGAATTCCTGGATCAAGTAATTCCTGGATCAAGTATTGGGAGAAATTTGCCTACCTGGAGGACTTTTCGATGGAACTAACTCGTTTAAAGGTTACATGAAGAGGAAAACCAATTCAAAAAAATAAAAAAAAGGAAGCAAGGATTCACAAAAGAAAATAATGTCAACATTTATGGCCGCCAATCATTAAATCAAAATTTACTGGCCGTTTTAACGCCAGTGTTTTAATTTGTTGTACTTTTCTTTCTTTTTAAAGATAAATTACTTACACTGGGAAAAAAGTTTTGCATTTATAAAAATACTTGAAAACTAATAATATGTATTATTTTCCCTGTATAAAATAAAAAAAGTTATTTTATTTTGTTTTACAGTCGAATCAACTTCTGAATAGTGCTGTATTGAATGGAAGACAAGTGTCTCAGCCAATGAAAGTATTTGTTGTGAGCCAAGCTGGCAAAGTTGGAGATGTTACTCTTCAGTCATCCTGTCATGCTTCTGATGAGTCCATCTTGAAAGTAAGCTATGCTCTTCTAACAAAACGGTTACATAAGGGAGGTTACATGCGTCTGGATTATGTTACACGCATAAGGGAGGTTTATGTTACTTGCGTTGTGAAATGCGCATGCGCCCGTGAAAAAAAATTTAACTTACATGAATGAATATCAAAGATTTTGCAAAAACCCGTAAGTTAAAAACGCTAATGTAGTGAAATATCATCTTAACTTCGACGATAAAATCAAAACAAATATTTACAATGGACGTCGATGTATTACAAAAGTCATACTTCTTCCAACTAAATTGTATAATTAAAATAAGTATATTCTATAAGTTATGTAAGCAAATTATAAATTTTTAGTTTCTTATGGACCTTGTGCAATTAGAAAATCATAATTTTTAAATAAAACCAATAAAAAAAAATTTAAAAATATCAAGCAATTGTTGTAAAATCACACGACTCATTTTAACATTTTGTAATAACGAATCCTTCATCTTCATTTTGTATTGGTATCCTTCTTGATTTCGTTGTAATTCAATTAAAACAACATACAACAGCTATGAACAGCGTGCTCGTAGCTTTATGAAACCACGCCACCAAAGACACGTAGTATCTAAAAAACGCGTGAGCATGCGCAGTTACTTCAAATCTAGTCGCACGGGATCTAGTACTAAATCGGTACTAGATTTGTCGAATTTCCCTATTGTTTTAATTCTTATGACTCAATATCTCATGGGTCTTAATAATTTTTCACAGGTGTCTCCATCTTGTACTTCTGTGTATCTGGATGGCTCAGAGATCCGTGGTTCACAAAATGCCTCTATTCTTGTCAAGTACGGCTCCTACACAGGACAGGCTCACTTCCTGGTATGGATGCCGGAACTGCCACTGACCATTAGGATATCGGATACAAAACTCAGTCAGATCAAAGGATGGAGAACGCCTCACTTGCAAAGAGGGTAAGTCAGTGGGAAATAATAACAGGCCTCGTTTTCGATATTTTTATGATTCTTGAAAACTGAAAGATATATCAAAATGCAGATTAAATGTAGGTCTTTAAAGATGTATCCATCTCTTCGCTCCACTGAAAGTTCTGTGCATAATTTCAATATTAGTTCAGATGGGTGAAATAATTAAAAGAATCGCCATTTTAATGATGGAAGCGTAAAATTTGGTACACATGTATCACACATGTAAAGTCATCTCATATTTATCCAAACAATAATAGCCCACGTTCTAATTGGTGACCCCTGAAAAGTTTTGATGCGTTCTTTTTAAATATTTAAAAAAAATTTTTCTTTAATAGATATCATTCAAAATTGTTAAAAATACATTTAAAAAGAGTTCGTCAAAATATTTGTATGAGCTAAATCTAAGATGGCTTTATTTGTGTGGTACATGTGTACCAAATTATATGCTTTTAACATTTAAGACGCAATTTTTTCACCTACCTGCAGTACTATAAGACCGGCATGTTAGATTTAAGGAAAATGTATTTGTTAATTTCAAAAATAATTTTGTGAGAACTAAATCTTCATCTGGCCTGTCGAAATAAATAGAGTTTTCAAAGGTAGGTCAACTTATTCATTAAATTAAATCAATGGAAGTTTCAGTCATATTGATTTAATTTGCAAAAATTCTCGACATCTTGTACTATTAGCAAGACTGCTGCTTAATTTTAAAAGGTAAAAAAAACATAAATAAATAAAACATTTGTATAAACATTTCTGTTTTTTTTTTAAAACGGAAACAAACTTTTTGTGACTACGACTATTTATTAATAGCTTTAACACAGATGCAGTAAATATGTGTGCTTTACTTATTGATAAGTTGTCGTTGTCGCGGTGATTTTAATTTTCCTGATTGAGAGATAAAAATGAAGTGTTCAAACTACCATTTTTTTTTTATCTTTTCCGGTATTAGATAAAATTAAAAAAATTGAAATAGTAATTATTTTGAATTATGGTGAAATTTTGAATAAATGGACATATTCATTATTTGGATTAATTATACTGAGAAACAATTTTTTTCCTGTTGCATGAGATTTTTTTAATAGATCTGAGATACTTTTTTATCACTTTTTTCAAATGTGCAATCGGTTTTGCTCTGAGCTACAGTTTTTTTAAGGACATTTTTAGAGAAATGAATTTTTATTTATCGAAATATACAAGTTTAAAAACGTTCTAAACAACAGGGGATCCCATAAATGCTGCAACCAACTTCTAGGAGATTTAAGGCACATCATTAGATTTAAAACGACATTGAAACTCATTCCCGGAAATGTCGTCATACTCCGCTAGTGACTCTTCCCTATTATAACCTGTTCAGAAGAACATGAAGAAACAGTTTATAACAGGGTAGTGCTTCTAGCTGTTTATGGCGACATTTCTGGGCATGAGTTTTTATGCCATTTTAATTCTTATGATGTGCTCTAACTCTCCTAAAAGCTGGTCGCAACATTTATGGAACCCTTTGTTATATATTAAGTTTTTAAACTTGTATATTTCGACAAAAATAGACTAAAAATGCCATTTTAAAAAGATTGTAACTTAGAGAGAATTCCCACTCCCGAATTATGCAATATCAAGTATTTGCATAAATGTCACAAGAAATTTGCTCCACGGAGTTATTTTGAAATATCTAAAACCATCTAACAAATTGATTGTTTTGTGTTATTAAGCAAGCAAAAATCCTGAATTAAACTAAACATCTTTATAAATGCATTTTCTTATTCATGAAATAGTACATATAATCTTCTTTTCCTCGCTTTTAGAAAACCGATGTCGTCCTTTGGGTCTAGCCGGACAGTAAACCATAAATCAAACTTCGCTACGTCTTCAGCAACTCGAAGTGACCGGTGGCTTGACAGAGAGGTGTGTATTTTAAAAATATTATCTCCTGCCGTTATAAAAATAGTTTGAAAAATGTTGTCGGGTAATTTTGGAACAAATCTTAAAATATACTTTTAAGAAAATAGATATTGAAATGCGCATTTGTTTAAAGGATCTTTTTGGAAATACTTTATGTGTTATGCTAATTAATTGTCAAATCAACAATTCTTTAAAAGTTACATTTCTTAAAGTAGCAATGTCTTGAAATCTTGTTATAAAAACTTGCTGGACGGCGAGAGAAAAAGACCAGTCTGGTAAAAAGACAAACGCAGTGTGAAAAAAGACTGTTGGCTTGTTCGAGATTTCAACAAGTTTAAATTACTTTAATGCAAAGTACATCATCTGTAATCTACAACTGTTATGTTTTTATTTAAACAAGCTGAAACAAACAAAAAAACAAGCTGAATAATTCATACAGTAAAAACTGTTTTCAATCCCCAGGCTTCATCATGCCTTAGATTTTTCACAGAAAGAATACATCACAAATCTAATTTTTACATTGCACTAGAGCTGCACAAAGTACTTTTGACGACGATCTGAGAAACATCCTTGAGGATGATCTGAAGACATGCCATCACAATTTTGATCCTCTGGGGAGGGGAGAGCTCCTCCACGAAGACAGATACCGCACTCTTCGGTCCCTTTGCAGGCTGATCAAAGTGGTCATCCACCTCCACACTGACCGCAACCTTGACCGACTTGATGCGTGACTTTTGTGATCTACTATGATATTAATGATCTGTCCTCTGCGGTTCATTAAGAAAATGGACACGACCTTTTATTTTGTTCCTTAAACTAGTGTTTTGACTAGAGTATTTTAAAATAATTAACTAGTGAATAATGATTGTTTGTGGTATTTGATAAAACTAATCGAATTGACTTTGTGCCCTCCATTTTAAGAATAATGTAAGATTTGGCTTCATTAATTAACGCTGAAAAGTTGTTCTTTGTGCTATGTCCGTTTCATTAAACACGCTGTCAATTTTTAAGCAAAATCTGAAGAAAACTATTTCTATAAATCAAGGTAAGTTCTACTTACCCCGTTCTTGCCACTGTGGTTGGAGGTAATAAATGTCAATTTGTAAAGTCTCATAAAAGACTCTAACATGTTTTATAGACAATCACTTTAATAATAAGGGAATTAGAAAACACAAACAGAAATGAATTAGCAATTAAGCTTCAATCATTTACGGAGCTAAACATGCTTGTTCTCAGATCGAGATATTAACATCAACTGGTGGCGTTGTGGGCGCACCAAAACAACATGCGCAGAAGACAGCTATAGTGAGAATTCTCGACACACGCAATAATAGCTATGTCCATTTTTTTTCACCAACGTAACGCCTATGTGAGTAACTTCTATGCTATGTCCAGAATTTTTAAAAAAATGTAGAGTGCGCAAAAAATGGACTACCCTGAATGACTTTTGATCTAATGATCGGATCTTCACGTTTTAGGACTCAATCTTAATGCTTTGAGGGGATGATCTGAAATATGCTAATTATTTAAAGCAGACCATAGCTTAAATTATAAAATCAGACACACACACAAAAAAAGCAAAATTGGTCGAATAGTTTCCGAAAAATCGAATTTTAAAAGTATAGCTTTTTTAAAATTCCACTTCTTAGGAACTATTCTACCTATTTCGCTCAATTTTTGTATTTTCGCTGTGTAAAATAGCAATGATGTAAAAAATTTTATAGCTTGAGATTCAGAATTTTTTCAACTATTATTATTAAATAAAATAATAAATATATGCTATACGTTATTTTTGTTATAAGTCATTATAGAGGTCCGTTTATTTATTTGAGCACTGTACACTAACGCTGCATAAAATTGAGACCTTTTAAATGCATTGTTTCATTGCTCAAGTTGCACTACATCTTTCAATTTCAGGATTTTGACATTATCTGCAGACTTCGGTATCAGCAGGGACATATTGATGTGTATACCAGGTTCTTCAGCGTAGACCACAATTCTGGACGAGAATCTTATCTTCTTAGCAGAAAAACAGAACTGAGAATTACAGACTTGGTGTCACCCTTCTTGAGGGTGGCTGATATGCGTATAGCGACTCTACAAGGAACAGTGGTTAGGGGAATGCAAAGTGGCAGGACTGAAGTTCAGGTAGGAAATAATTTAATATTATTCTATTCGTCTCGAAATTACGTGATTTGGGATGAAAAGTGAACTCTAGAATATGTAACAAAAATATGTATTTCCTCAACTCGAAACCTTGGGAAAAAAAGTGAATGACAATGATTATTTTTTTTAAAATTTGGACGAAATTTGTTTCCACGAAGAAGTGAAGATAATTATTTCGTCACTTTGACGAGATTTTTTGCTCGAGACATAAACCAGGAAACGGTTTCGTCTAAAGCTGTGAAATTTGAGTTTCCATTTTTTTACAGTTAAACATCTCTACAGTATTCCATTTTTAGTTTCATAAATTCGTTTCAAAAATATTAATACCACAGTGACATACAGGATGTTCAAAAGTTCGACTGATAAATTCTGAGGGACAATAAGAGACATGAGGAGCGTGAAAATTTACTATTCAAAATGAGATCGCAAACACGTTGAGAGGATGAAAATCGATGCAAGTTTCAAAAGCAAGTGCAAACCATGCTACAAACTTGCTAAATTAATTTGAACAATTATTGCAAGATCCCGCTGATGTCACTGAGCAGTCTACAACGACGTAAAAACTATTCCCGGGAGCACTAAAAAAATCAGTAATGCTTTCGATTACTGATTTTTTTTACTGATTTCGATTATTGATTTCCACAGCAACGACAATCCTTGCTGTGACATCCTCCAGCAGCGATTCAGAGTCTGTGTGCGTTTTTCGTGATTTTCGCTCCATTATGACCTACGTTATGACGTTAAGTTTTCATTCTTTTTATGCTTTTTATGGCACCCCTGACTTTTGAACACTCTGCATAATTAATTTAGGCATTTCATTTTTAACATCTTCGAAGGGTTTTATAATCAAGGTATGATGTTTTTATAAGCTGACGAGTCTAAAGCTTCCAATTCTGAGATATTTGTGAATTGATTTTAAGGAAATTATTAGCATTTTGTAATTAGTAGTCGGATTTTACATTAACAGCTTATTTTTCATAATACAATAAGTAACTTGTCGCATTAATAAGAAAAATTTTTTGTTTACAATTCATAGGTACTTTCACCCATAACCGGAAGAGTTAGTGGAGCAAAAGAAGTGCGAGTTGGAACTGATAAGGAAACAATAACTCATCTAGAAGTTACAGTCGTTGCTGGTCTTCAACTCACCGTAACCCCTGATGAAACGCTACCAGGAGTTTTCATCAGCCAGACCAGTATTCATCATAAGCTGACATCACAATATCAGGTAAGAATTGAACCCTAATTTAAAGACTGTAACTTTTCCAAAGATTTTGCGATATTTTATTTTTATTCAAAGGATTTTCTACAATATATGTTTTTAATATATATATTTTCCAATCCTTGACGCAAATGAAACCCATAACTTGAAAAAAAGTTATCAATATCTGACGAAAGCCAGATTAAAGATATCAAGATCTGTTTGATTGACGAATGAAACTAAGATGAGCAAGGTTTCTATGACCGGGAAAAAAATCACTTAATGACTTTTCTCAATGCTGTAAAGACGTTTAAATTTAGCTTTCAGTTGAGCATTACTATAGCATATTCTCTCTACGATTTTGCATCCATATATAGGGGAAAGTAAAGTAAGACCGGGTAGCTAAGATCTGAAGGCCTGATGGTGCTAAATATTCTACCTAGAAAATGTCAAATTCAATCGAGAAAATCATTCTTTGGTAATAAGCGATACTGATAAGCGATTCCTGAACCCAATCTAGAACACAAGTGAACTCCTGGATCAAGTATTGGGAGAAGTTTGCCTTCGTGGAGGACTTTATGAAGGAACAAACCAGCATTTGCGTTGCATGGAGAGGAAGAACACTGAAGCATCCTATGATTAGCTTGGCAGCATGGGGACTCTAACCCATGATTCGTTTACTACCAAGGACATTTTTACGTTAGCTTTGTGATCAGTGCGAGCCAGGAGCAGAATTCGTATCGACCAGCCACCGCTGAGATTCGAACCAGAGTCACCTCTTAGGAAAGGGAGTCGAGCACTATATCTCCTGAGCTACCTTTACATTTTATTTTGTAACCGTCGTTGAACAGCCGACCCAATTTTGAGTCTACGACTACCAATGTGTTTGAGTTTACGATTTGGCATGCACCAGTCCCTAATTCGCTCACAAGGAGTCTCCGGCCGTCGAGATTCGAACTTACGACCTCTCGGACGTAGTCCAACGTCTTACCAGCCAGACTATCCCGGCCTTCCATATACATTAAAACTTTTAATTAATCATGGTGAGGGTCGGGATAGCCTGGTTGGTAGGGCACTGGACCCATGTCCAGGAGTTCGTGGGTTCGAACCCCGCCGACCGAAGATTCCCCGTGTAGTAAATGGTGACTGATGCACGTTAAATCTGTCGAGTCGCAATGCCCTCCATGTTCTCATAACAAATCAATACCTTTGTTGATACTGATCCAGGAGTTTCCATGTCTTCGGGATTGGTTCAAAATTACAAGGCTACGGAGTTGAACATTAGTAGTTCGTAAACCCAAAATTGTGTCGGCTGTTCAACGACGGATATAAAATGAAATAAAATTAATCACGGTGTAGCTGTGGTAGCTCAGGAAATAGAGCAATGTCGCTTCTCAATAAGGTGACCGGGTTCGAATCCCGACAATGGCAGGTTGGTTCGAATTTCGAACCCGGCTCACACCGACCACAGTGCTAACGTAAAATATCCTCAGTGATTGAAATATCATATGGGTTAGAGTCCCATTTCCGTCAGTCTAACCGTGGGAGGTTTTCGTGGTTTTCTTCTCCATGTAGCGCAAATGCAGGTTAGTTCCTTAAAAAAGTCCTCCACGAAGGCAAATTTCTCCCAATATACTTGATTCAGGAGATCCCTTGATTTCTGGATTGGGTAAAAACTACAAGGATGCGGAGTGGAACATTGGTAGTCATAAATTGAAAATTCGGTCGGCCGTTCAACGACGGTTATAAAACAAAATAAAATTAAATTAATCATTGCTGAGCCTTGGTGGCTCAGGAGATAGAGCGTTCGCCTTCCAATGAGGTGAACCGCGTTCGAATCGCAGGTGATTACAAGTCAATACGAATCCGCACCCGGCTCGCACCGACCACAGTACAGATGTAAAAATATCCTAATTGGTAGACCGATCATGAGTTAGAGTCCCCTTGCCATCAAGCTAACAGCGGGAGGATTTCGTTCTTTTCCTCTCTATGTAACGCAAATGTGGGGTAGTTTCATCAAAAAGCCCTCGGAGAAGGCAAAATTTCTCCCAATACTTGATCCAGGAGTTCCCTTGTCTTCTGGAATGGGTTCAAAATGTCAAGGCTACGGAGTTAAGCATTAGTAGTCATAAGCCCAAAATTGGCTCTTCTGTTAAAGGACTGTTAATAATAAATTAATAAAATAAAATTATTCATGGTTACCAAATTTCTTTTTATCTCCCAAAAAAGCTAGATATGAAATTGATTTTTCACTAACAGCTGTTTTTTTTGGGGTCACAAACAGTCTCGTTTTATAGTAAATTTTATGTAAAACTGTATTCAGTCAACGTACGCAATCAAAAAAATGAGTTCAAAACAATTATTTACTTTTTAAAACCATTGTGAACAATGAACTGTACGCACTAATGCAAATAATTTTTTTGGCTTAAATATGTAACATGTTCTTTTAATAAACAAAAAAAATGAAAGATAATTTTAAATAAATAAATGCTGAAAAAAAGTATTCTAATTGACTCACTTTTCTCAGAACCTCTTCAATTATACTTTTATCAGAAATAAATATTAATAGTTTTGGTTTTTGCTTTTTATAAAAACATATCATATTTTTTTACCATACCAAAAAGGTAACGGAACTGAATTCATATTACAACTAAGGAAGCGAATCGAGATCTTTAAAAAAGTAAATCGAATCTTTTAAAAAAAAATAAAAGAAAAAGAAATATCAATTTAAGAAAGATATGTCCAAGTTCAAAATTATAATTATCACAGAATATGATAGTCACACATCATCTGCAGATCAAAGCCAATTTTAATGAGTTGAAAAATGAAACACAATATACACACATCACTCTCTTCCTAGATTTATTTTTTCAGTTTTTTCTCTCCATTTTTTCAGATCTTCTTTTTCTATTATTACACATTTTATCTTCATGATTTTCTTCTTCTGTTTCCTTCATTCTTTCGACATGTCTTATCTATCCTCTGTTGTCTTTTAGCTTTGATAAATCTTACGATGTTTTATCCTCTAATTAATCTTTCTATTTTATGGTTGTATCTTTTTTTTGCATTTGTTATTTTCATAAATAGTTCCGTATATTCTTTTATACGATCCAAACTATTTTCACATGCACATTAAGGGCCAGAAATATCAATTTCTGGCTCTTAATATTCATATTTTATGTTTCATTTTCGATAAGGAGAAAAAATATATATGTTTATATTAAAGGAGGTGATTACGGAACGCCATGTTTAATTTCGTTCTGTTTACTTTTACCCTTTCAAGATAGGCAAAATGAGAAAAAAACACTTCCCTAAGTCCGCATACTCTGAGAGTATACGAACTAAAACGTGATTAACAAGTTCAGAATCACACGATATCGCGTTGTCGAAATTCTTTCCTCTTCAGAGGGTTCTGTTTAGAAGAAATTTGGGTCCTTCACAAAATATCTTTTCATAAAAACGGACCCTTCACAAAATATTTGAACTTAAAAACGGACCCTTCACAAAATAACTTATCTTTTAATCGGACCCTTCACAAATTTGTTTATCTTCATTATTGTTTTGTTAATCGAATAAATCCTTCTTAGGAAGGGGGGGGGAAGAAAGATTTATTCGATTAACAAAACAATAATGAAGATAAACAAATTTGTGAAGGGTCCGATTAAAAGATAAGTTATTTTGTGAAGGGTCCGTTTTTAAGTTCAGACGAACTAAATTTTGTCCTGCAGACGCTTCTTCCTTTATTCGTCCGAAATGAATATTCTGCGTTCAGCAGTATAGGCTAAATACCAAATATTTATTTGCATCGCTAATCCAGTAGCTGCAATTGCTTTTTATTTTTTAAAATTAAATTTTTTTAATTATAATTTTACATTGTTGAGCATAATCTTGTATGTCTTTACAATTTAAAAACTCCTTGAAAAAGTTTTTTTGCAATAACGGACCCTATTTGCACAAATTCACAAAAGCGGACAGTGGTTGAAAAAATGTGACTTAACGTTTATTTTATATTCATAAATTACGAGTAATTTTTTCACAATTTTACCAAAACGGACCTTTCACAAAATGTCTGGTCAGACCTCTGCTCTTGTTTGTGTCACTAAAAGAGATCAAGTGGTAGCAAGACACATAATCATCCAACTGCAAAAGATATTATGTTTTCTCATAACAAAAGCATACTATTAAAATGAACTCATTGTAAATTTTAGAAACTAAAGTGGTTGCTAAAATAAGAAAATTTGACTTTGATTTTATATTTATATGCTACCACTCTTCAACAATGGTGAACCGCACTCGGCTGGCTATGAACGTGTTAAATACCGTATTGAGATCACGTCATTATCTTGAGCCGGTAGAGTCAGAAATGCCCGTTTTTTATACATGATACCGTGGATCTTGAAGGAAAAATCGCGTGATCATAGTTCTGGAAGGGTTAAGTATTAAAAGCCTTGCATACAGCTGATAGAATTAAAAGACTTTTCATATTGCTTTTTTTTACTGTAATAATATAATAATTTGTGTAATTTAATTATTTTTAGTGAAATTTAAATGTTCAGTTTTACTACCTATTCTGTTTGTGTAACTTTTCTGAACATTTATTAAATCTTATTTTTAGGAGGGGCTCCTGAATATAAAAGTGCACTTTTCTGATGGCACCTCAGCCTTACTAGAAGATGTCACAGATACTGACTATCATCTTTCCGTTGATACATTTGACAGTGGTGTTGTGGCATTCGCACCGATGGCTGGTCTCCATCATCCCCGTGTCATTGCTATCGGGAAAGGAAAGGGAGACCTACTACATGTCACATTAGAATTGGCTGAAAGATGTCAAAAGCGACGTAGCCAACCTCTAGCCATGGCGTATGCCTACATAGATGTAGATTTTTCACCAAATAGCAAAGCAATCATGAACGACGTTCGAGTGAAATCGCCAAAGAACGCGGATGGCGGACGAAAAAGACCAGATCACGTAGATCCATTTTCACCATCCCATGAAGAAGATAACGAGAAATATCTGAATTCCAACGACGCTAGCTCCATTTTATACCAAGACGCTGTTAGTCATAGAGGTAAATCATACCACGAACCAGCTGTGCAGGCTCGTCAGAATCTCGTTCATCCCTCGGATCTCACACCACTCGAAATTGGAATGTATGCTTTGCTCGGGGTGTTTTGTTTGGCTATTTTCGTTTTTCTAGTCTCGTGTTCTGTCTTTGCTGTACGATATAGACGCAAACAGGTACCACCAGTTACAGAGACTAGTGATACCGTAGCCCATGCCCATGATTGGGTATGGCTGGGCAGAGCCACGCTTGAAAGGAATTCCGTGAACACTCGCTGTTCGCAGACTCTTATCCCGATGGCCGACTTCAACGGCAACCACCAATCAGATGGAGTAGATTCTTCTACCTTGAAAGTTCAGAGACGGGAGAAGAATAATGGAACGCGTGCTATTGGAAGTGGCTGTCGGAGCAGCAATGTCTCCTTTCCGGGTTCTGAAATAAGCATTCGAATAACCACCAATCCCCAGGAATTAAGAGAAGAAGAAATAGCAATGCTTGAAAAGAGCACTTCAACGTGCCCGCAGAATAACATCAAACCGGTACCCATCGTTAGTTCTGGAAGCGCAACTGTTTCCAGGGAAAAAAGGGTTAGGATTGTCACCAATCCAGTGCCTCCTCCTATACCCCCTGGAAATGCACTAAAATTATTTCCTCCTCATCCTCCCCCACCAGTTCCCCCTCATCGTAATTTACCCCCTTTATCTGCCCACCAAAGATATTTAAGAGATTTCCAGCTCGGAAAATTCCGGGTGCCGGGTTCCGACGCGGAATGGGAAACAGTCGCACAGGGAATGAATTACGATCAACTAATTGAGTATTTTGAAAATTTAAAAGAGTCCAATGCCTGAAAAGCTGTTAAGTAGGGTTTATGCCATTTCAACATCGCGTTGTACAAGAAATGTCACAATAACTGCCCGAGGCAGATACTTGAGGTGAAGACATCGCTTATTTAGCAAGATTATCCTTGCAGTCATTCTAGTCCTTACTTAACTTTTTTGTGTTTTATCGCCTGAAAGGATGTGTCCAGAAAAAACCCTTGACGTACCAAACAAGCACATAGCTCTAAGTTGTGAAACTCTGTATTCATAAGCATGTGAAAAAGTTTATTTAAAAGTAGTGTCTAGTCTGTATCTTAATTCTGAAAACAATTGCCTAAGTGTTTTAATGATTCACAGGGTGACAAAAAATAACATGAACATCCAATATATATAGTGTTCCTATATTAAGAACAAAAACCGAGCATACTCGTTGATATGTGAGTCTTATATAGCAGTGATAAATTGTGAACGGCCTGCTGCTTTGTGTTTAATTGCTAACAGTTAACTTTTATTAGATTATACTTTTAAAGTTAATGTCAATGTTCTCAAATGTTACCTTAATATTAAACATACCATTGCCAGTTGAATGATGGATTTTTTTATGGAATAAAAAGAAAAGGCTACATTTTGTGTCAAAAATAATTACTGGCTAGGAAGGTTCCAGCAGTAATGCAGAGTCTCATCACAAGGAAAGTTTAATATAGGTAGAGCAAGCATACTGGGACACTATCAAAAAAAAATATCCACAAATCTTAAGGCTAACTATTTTGATCACTAGTTCCTTTTAAAAGGCTTTTTAATCGAAAGAATTTACTAATTTATTTAATGCTAAGATCGTACTGCGTTAATAAAATTTATTCAATGATCTTTTGCATAAAAGTGTTTTTGTATAAAATTATATAAAATTCTTTTGTAAAAAAGTTTTAATAAAGTTATGCGTTTATCTTATCAAATACATTTGTTATGCAGGGTGAGGCAGAAAAACTGTGCGAACAATTTTTAAATAGCTTTATTAAAGATAAATAATTCAGTAATATATAACAAATAATAATAAAAGCCGACTTTTACTAATAATTAAATTTAATTGGTTTCAATGTGACCGCCTTTTGCAGAGGTGCAAACCCTTAGTAAAATTTTCAGCAATGGGCTTTATCCCACTTTTGGCGAAGCGATTGTTTTAGAGAATCTTAACTTTTGTGTGCAATTTTGTGTACAGAGCGACTGAATGATTTCACTCTGTCGTTTTCCTTGCTTAAACAATTCCATAATTGCAGATCTTTTACTTGGCATTTTAAAATAAATAAAAACTAAGAATATGTTATGAAATATTTTATAATTAAAGTTGTAGACAAATCGATATGAACACACAAATTTAAAAAAAAAATTAACTTCTATCCTATGTTACAATAACTGGAGTCCAAGTTTTTTTGCTGCATCCTGTATACAACGATAAACTCAAAGTTTCTCTCTATAAATAATCGCATTAAAGTATGTTTAGTTACTTCTTCGAAACAGAGGGGGAAAATTTACTTAAGCAATTAAGTTCCAAAATTTCTAGAACTAGCGAAACAAAATTCTATTTCTTTGTTCCAAAGCTTTGAGTTTTTTGCACGCTGTTCGATTGAATGTATTCGAAGAAAAAGTTGCATTCGGTTTTAAGATGCATTATCGAATAATTTAGGATGCATTGCGTCTGCTATTTAAGATGCTTTCAATAAATGTCATAAGAGCTTTCTTTCTCAATGTTAACATATTTTATGCAAAACAAAATACGTATTCTTGGCGAATATTATTTAAATTAAGAAAACTAAAGAATGTTTATGTATGGACACAGATTCTTACTTAAGATTAAAAAAAAAATTTCACTGTGCATATACTGTATTAAGATTTCCAAGTTATTTAAAGTCACCCTGTGTGTAGACATAGTTTGTTGAATTTTTTATATTTCTTTTTTTTATTATTTTGTTGTTGTTTTTTTATGTGGTGCAGAAAAAAATGCAACTTGTTATGTCAGATACTGATTATATCGTATTTTGAATTAGGAGTACCATATTGTGTTGAGTTGTAAAGAGTAATATCTTTATACCCATCAAGAATAATTGCTTCAACTCTTAAATGTTTCATAAAATCATTTCATAAACTATAGTGATTTGTTAAAGAAGAGTAAATTGTTTATAACATCAGAGTGAGTTGTACTGTCAGACATATTATACTGTTTCTGTTGCATTTTTTTCATCATTATATTTTAGTTCATATCATAAATTAACTAACTCAGGTTTTGCAGCGTCATGTTAGACATTTTTATCGGGTTTAGTTTTATTTAATTTTTAATAGAGTTTGCTTTTTAAGAAGCCCTTAATAACAACAACAAAAATTAACATACATCGATAATTATTTTAATATTGGGTCATTGCAAATTAAATGTCCGACTATACGTTAAATTTAAAACATAATCTTAATGTTTTCAGAATTCCCATCGCAAAATACCTAAAAGTCAATTTCATTGATATAAATGCAAATTTTGCTTAAGCTTCTGTCTAGAATATATAGGTTTTATAAAATAGAAAGTGAACAAGTGAGATCGTGAGAAATAGAGTATGTTCCGCAGAATGCGTATAACTTATTTACTAGTTCACATGAGAGTATTCAAAATGAATGTAAAGTCAGGCGAAGGGTGCGAAGCAGAACAACGGAAAGTAATAAGATTTTCAGTGGCAGGAGTTGATTCCGCCATGCAGTTCAAGTGATAAAAACAATTGCATTTTACTAAATAAAAATGCAAAAATAAGAAAATCATCCGAAATAGTGAAACCAGCATCAATAAACAGATTAAGATATTTATATACAAATTACTTAGATATATATTTTTTTTTTAATATCATGGACATTTTAATTGTAATGAACCGATATTAATTGCAAAAATTCTAAAACGTTTGATGTTTTAAAACGTTTTAGAAAATGTTTAGTGTATATTAACAGTTTACCAATTTATGAAAATTTTAAACTTCATAGTAATATTAGTTACAAATCTTTCTTCTGTTATAGATACGTTTTTATCACAGAACTTAATTTTTACTTGCAAAAGCAATTACTGTTTTTTAAAATATATCCTATTTTTTTTCCATCGTGAACTTGTGAAATTGCTTGTGCTTCTTGTAAAAATATAGTCACTGTTGCTGAAGCAGTTCATTTTGAAATCCTATTAGTGTTGTTGCCAAATGTGTTTAGAACAATTTGCAATATGATGGCACGAACCAAGATGTTGATGAATTGAAAATTTAAAATTAATTGAAATGAGATCTGTGTATCAAAACAAATAAAACTCATTACTATCTTAATAAATAGGAAATATATCATTCCTTCTTACTTGAAAATGGCGAAATCCACTAAGTCTGTTAATAATTTCTATCTCTAATAAGTTTATCAATAATTATTTAGTGGATTTTATGGCAATTATTGTATAAGAATGTTTTCGAGGTTTTATTACATATTCTTTAAAGCCTCTATTTTTTGTAAAAAATTAAAAGCTGTAAATTAAATATATTTAAAAAAACATTAAAGAATAGAAAATCCTAAAACCTATAAAAAAAATAATAACTGCTACCTTTAAATAAATAATTCCAAGCAACTAAAGTGGTAAGATATACTTCATAAAAAAACTTTATTGGCTTCAAAAAACACACCGAGGTGGGTCTTTTTTCCCCCCAAAAATGGCCGAGAGAGGCAATTTATCAGTTGCTTTGGCTCATCTTGATGCTCTGAACTCGTGTTTCATTCATATGAATGCCGATTCCTTTGTTTACGACATGACTTCACCACGACCTCTCCACAGCTCTAGGAAATGCATTTTGCCCCTTTAAAGCCACGGCGGTTTTTTTTTCTTTTTTTTCTTTGACAATTCTACATTTTATATTTCAAATAGCTTTCGTTTTTCCTCAGTCGCATCTAGCAAGTCTTGAGAATGGGCGTCTGTTTTACCATCTTCATATATATATATATACAGGGCTCGAAAAAACTCAGAAATTTTACCCGTCCCCGAGGACGGCTTGTCCAACAATGTACCCGTCCTCCTTTGAAACTAACCCGTCGCTTCTAAATAAATAAAAATATAATTTTCTCTTATTTATTACTAACATTTATATAAATTGCACTATGAATTAATAGTTACTAGGATTACAAATACTAGGACGGCAACGAGTTGGCTGACACTCTTGCAAAGAAGGGACTAGACCATCCAGTCCCCTCCACCTCAGAGCTTACATACCTTGAACTTTTTGCAAGGCAAAGGCCCAGAATAAACAAAAGTGGCTGCTTCCACCTATTCACTACTGGTATAAAGCAAAAAGACCAGGGCTCTCTCTATCTCTCCCTGGTGACAGGCAAACCAACACCTGCCTATCCCGACTGGCCAGTGGACACCTGAAAAGTCTCACATTTTCTGCAAATCAAAAGATCTTTCCTCTTTGCCCTAAATGCCAACAAAACCAGGCATCACCTGAGCACATCTTGATCTGTTTAGGGCTGGACTGGAGCGATATTCATTCCTCTCCCATTCTGGTTTCGGATTTTCTCAATGTTAACGGATTCATTGATCTGGTCTGACCCCGTCAGACCAGATGGGAATTAGCAACAACAACGACAAATACTAGGATAACATTATACAGTAATAAAAGAAATACTAGGTTACTAATAGTAAAACCTAGTATTTCTTTAATGAAATCATTTATTTCTCTAATGAAATAATTTAAATAACAAAGGTCAAGTTATCTGTCAATTATCATGTCAATTTATCCGATGGTACTGCGTTTTTTAAATGAATCANTGATGGTAGAGTTAAACTTTCGTTTTTTTTAATCCATACAAACTTCTGATAGTAGAGTATTATTTGGTTGAGATAGATCTGATGGTAGAGTTAAACTTTCGTTTTTTTTAATCCATACAAACTTCTGATAGTAGAGTATTATTTGGTTGAGATAGATCTGATGGTAGAGTTAAACTTTCGTTTTTTTTAATCCATACAAACTTCTGATAGTAGAGTATTATTTGGTTGAGATAGATCTGATGGTAGAGTTAAACTTTCGTTTTTTTTAATCCATACAAACTTCTGATAGTAGAGTATTATTTGGTTGAGATAGATCTGATGGTAGAGTTAAACTTTCGTTTTTTTTAATCCATACAAACTTCTGATAGTAGAGTATTATTTGGTTGAGATAGATCTGATGTTAGAGTTAAACTTTCGTTTTTTTTAATCCATACAAACTTCTGATAGTAGAGTATTATTTGGTTGAGATAGATCTGATGGTAGAGTTAAACTTTCGTTTTTTTTTAATCCATACAAACTTCTGATAGTAGAGTATTATTTGGTTGAGATAGATCTGATGGTAGAGTTAAACTTTCGTTTTTTTTAATCCATACAAACTTCAGATAGTAGAGTATTATTTGGTTGAGATAGATCTGATGGTAGAGCGAAATTTTCGTTTTTTTTTTTTTTTTTAATCCGAACAAACTTCTGATAGTAGAGTATCATTTGGTTGAGATAGATCTGATGGTAGAGTTAAATTTTCGTTTTATCGATACTTCTTTTAATCCTTACAAACTTCTGGTGGTAGAAAATCATTTTAAGGCAGAAGATGTGGGGAAATAAACGCTCCGCTTTATTAGATTATGAGAAATAGCACTTGACATTTTTTAGAATTTCTAATTATTTACCTCATTAATGTAAAACAATTATGGGACAACATGATAAATAAAAACATGTGATTGGGAGGGTAATTAAATACCATACATTTGTTTGTTTCAAAACTTAAAAATTTACTAGTATTGTTGTTTAAACTGGGGTATGCAAATTAAAATGCTACTGAAAAATTATCTTAACTTAAATTACGCAAAAAAGATATTCAATAATCTAGAAACAGACATATGTTTTTATGCGAGGGAAAAACTAATAACAAAGCTAAAACCACACGCTATATATTTCTTAAGCTTTGATTGAGAGTAAATTATTCTAATCGAGAGCCACTAAGAGGAAATATCGAACATCAGTTTATCAATAAAGATAATTAAAAACCTATTTAAAACATTTCTCTTCGTCTCCACCCCTTTGACCGTTGATTTCATTAAGAAAAGAGACCTACCTCTTAAGGAACAAAAACATTTTTACGAAGAACTCAAGAGACAATGAATCTAATCAATTGAAATTTCTAATTAAAATGCATAAAAAAATTTAATAAAATAAGTAAGTCAAACAAGGTGATGACAAAAATGTGAGGTTATGAACTTAACACCCCAATGGATGGGTGATCGTGTAAAGCTAAGGGTGGTGGCGCTAGTGGCAAAGTTGCTCTTTCAAGACTTCCGGGTTACTGCTTCCGATATATTTTTACGCTGCAGATTGAAAAAACGCACCATCATATTATTGCATCATATCTTTTGCAGTATTTCACATGTACCGAGTTCTTTCTTTCAGCCTTTAAATTTCAGCATTATCATATTAATATTATAATCATTAGAATATTTTCTAATTAGGCTATCTTTTAAAGATATTTTTGGCGACATTTTATTCAAACATAGCCAAATAAGGGATAAAATACAAAACATGGGAAACCTTAAAAATTATTCACAATGAGATATTAACTTTCCAAAAATTTTTTTGGTCTTACGACCTCTGAGAATCAACACATTTCTGAAAGCTCTTATGAATGGTACAATTATGTTTAGATCTGAACCCAAATTACAATAACAAAACTGCATAGAATATTAGGCTTGTTCACACATCGCCTCGTAGTCATAACATAAGCGGAGGGATACACCGGAAATTTTCTAAATTTTTTCCGGTTTAAGGACGCTTGTTATTGTTTACATTAGACCACCCATCCATTACACGAGGGCTAAAAGCAGTCTTCAGACGTCACATTAAGAACCGCATCTTGCAACAATAGGCGAAAAATAATTATGTGACGCAAAGATCCAATCATCATGAGCCTGAATGGTCTGACTCGGCCTACGCGTAACAGTGCTTGCCTTAAAGCAGGCCAGGAGAATTGGAGGTGAAAAATTAGGTTTTTGTTCTTATGACGTCATGAGCCTGATCTAAGACCTCGTGTAAATGAGGTGTAAAATCGTGAATTAATGGGCATCGCTGCTAGATATTACAAAAATGGTGTCGCAAAATGGCACTTTAAGGTATTATTATATGGGATATGACAATCTTCTCTAATCGTTAGACATGTCTTGCGACGAATTCTCTCATTTTAGCCGGTTGATTTCTTGAGAGGGGTGGCATGCGACAATTGCTCTCCCTAGATAATCCAAAACTTGCGTCATTTGATTCAAGTCTGGAGATCTGTCTGACCACACAATTCTCTGAATATCATCAGTCCCAAGATATTCTTCGATCAGCCCAGACTCGCATGAGCTCGTTCTCATTCATTAAAATGGACTGGGGATCGACGGCACATCTAAATAATTTTACATAAAGCTTTGAAGTATGAGCGTATACCTCGGAGAATTCAAAGTGGCTCACTGAAATACTTGCTGTTCTGCAATGCCCCTCAGCATCATGTCGGCCTACACTGTAATGCTCTGATCCCCATAGCGATTAATAATGTTATAGGGTGGTACTGAACCCCCTGTTTCTTTCTTCGCACGTCGACAATCATTGTTCAGACAGAATCTGACGCTCATCATCTGACCCACTGCACCCGTGTCTAAATTGATGTCGGCTGTATTAGTACCTCAATTAGTACTCTCTTTTGATCTGGACTAGAGTATCAGGAAAGTAGTCTAACTTATCTGAGGTACAAAGTTGAAATATTAGGGCCCATATGTAAAATTGTTCAGAGGTTCCATCGGTCCTCAGCTCATTTTTATGAAAGGCAACACGCTCCCACATAGGGCTTGGCTTATAACGAAGAAACCCTTGAAGCCGAAGATATTTAGAGGACTGAGTGGTCAGCTAAGTCTGCAAACCTAAATACAATCGATTTTGTCTGTGATACTCTTGGAAGAGTACCCTTTGCAAGAGTACCTCGAGCAGGGCCGGATCAAGCGTGCACGGGGCCCTAGGCCATTCAAATTTTTGGGGCCCTTAGATTAAATTTTTTTCTCGTATTTTTTTTTTATTTATTCAAATGTAAAAGTATGTATATATCTTTTCATATAAGAAAGCATATTTAAAATTAAAATAAATGATAATAAATGAAATTTCACTTTATTTTATTAAATTAGAACTAAAAAATAATCATTACATTTTGAAAAATATTTGTTTTTCTTAATTTTTTAAAATTTATTTTCGAAAAATCCATATTTTTGAAGCTAATTTTGAAAGAGACTTCCGCTATTGTCAATCACATCATAGTTTCTTAAAAAATAGTTGTTTGAATCAATGTAATCAAAAATCAACAATCGTTTAATAACATGAAGTTATGTACCACTTGTTATGTACCGAAATCGCTAATTTTTTAAGTAGTGAACCATAAGCAGGCATAAAAATGCTCATAACCTTGAAACAAATTGTCATATAAATTTGAAATCGGATTTTATTTAATTCTGCTTAATATTCTAACAAGCAATGACAATCTGCTTAGTAAATAACTAACATAGGTAAACTGCGAAAATATAACATGTGAAAAATAACAGTTCTGTGATCAAACATGAAAAAGTGAGCTAGTGTAATTACTAGCTTTCAATTATCAAATATCAGGCAAACTATTGTTATCAACAATTACATAAATTCGGTACTTTATTATACGTGATTACTTTCTCATTTTGGTATAAGTTCACAGAACTATTTCATAGGGAAAGGCTGAGCAGTAGCTTGCTAGCTAATTCTTCCTCGTTGCTGCACATATAGTACTATGTACAGCCTAGGTCATCTCAGCAATAACAGCGAACTTCTTTGTGGATAAGATCTGTAAATATGTATTTATTTCAGAAAAAATGCATGTTAATCAGATTTATAATGCAGTGTTATTATACATATTTTCACTCATAAACAACAATATAAACTTTGTATATACATACAGATATCCAAGCAAACAATCAGCATACAGCTGTAGTAGAATTTCAAAGCAAAATTGCTATTTTAAAATCTTTCAATTTTCAATTATTTATTTATACGAGAAATTATGAACATTTTATTCAATTAATCAGCTTGTATACTGCTACGTTAAAACATATACATTTAAGCAAAATAGAAAAATAGATATACGTCGGACCTCTATTTAACGAAGTCACTAAATCCCGATAATAAGTTCGTTATAAGTCGTATGGAAGGTTCGCTAAATAGAAAATCACCTTTTAAAATATTTCAGCAGCACAAAACAGGTTTTAAATTCATAAACACTGAACATAATGAAAATAGAAATTGATGCATTTTTATCTCGTAAACTAGTATCTACTATTAATTTTATAAATCTTAACCATAAGGAAATCTGCATGGAAAGCGAGAATAGAGCAAAACATTATTCTATGTTAGACTATCATGCTATATACATTTTCAACTAAGAAAAGGCTAAATTTATGAATAAAATTACAGTTGGATTTATTATAAAAGTAATTTTTAAACATACATTAACACATGCGTTCTTAAGTTAAATTTCTACGGATAAAATCCGTTGCTTTAAACTGAGTTTTTTGTTTGAAATACAAGCAAAAAGGGAAAGGGAATTTACTACTTTCCGTAAAATAATTTTTAGAGAAAACAGTAATACATTTCATAAAGCAGTGACTTCGAAAATTAATTCAAGGTCATTTCCCCCATAAAATGCGTTAACAAGTTTGAAATGTTAAAAAATATTTTGGAAAATAGGGAAAGTGGATCTCAATGAAAAGTTCGTTAAATAGAAAATTCACTTCGCTATTTGGAAGTTATTTTACAAAGAAATTTCCAAAATGCTCTTGGTTCCTTGAAAAAATTCGTAAGATAGAGAAATTCGTAAAATGGAAGTTCGTTAAATGGAAGTCCGACTGTATTTGAATAAATACCAAACAATAAAATATACTGTGCGTAACCTGTTTTAACGATTCACCAGTAGCGTAACTCTAAACAGCGACAAGAAGTATTCAGATTTTTCTCTCTTATTGCTAAGCCTACAACAATAGCTTGTAAGAATAACCTCCGACTTTAATTATTTAAGATCAGGACGCGTCTTTAAAATAAAAATAATAAAATTTAAGTTTGAAAATTGGAGCATATTTGATTAAAAGTGATAAAACTAAATTATTAAATGCCAAACACACTTACTGAATTTCGCATAGAATTTTAATTGTCAACACACACTCCATTCGCCGGCTTGCACGGAACTCTGGGAAGTGAGATAGTTAATATGAAGTGTACTTTAATCAACCTCAAAATTAGCTTAGGTATAAATGAAATGACTTCATACACTTCACTATACCTGGCTATCTTTGAAATAAGGTGAAATTTTTATACCTCTTTCGTTACAAGTGTCAGAAAAGCAACATTGCACACCTGAGAAATCATCTCCTCAGTTTGGTTCATATGAAGTGAATTTAAAACAACCTCGAATTAAGCTTAGGTATAAATAAAATGATTTCATACACCTCAATAAATTCCTCACTCTCATTAGTTGAGATAAGGTAAATTTTTTATACCTCATAAATACCTCTTTTGCTACAAGTGTCAGAAAAATTACCTGGTATACCTTAGAAGTCACCTCATCAGCCAGCGTAATTTGAAGTGAATTTTAAACAACCTCAAAATGAGCTGAAGTATATGTAAAACAACCTCTTACACCTACACCTCAATTACAACCTTTGTGAAATATAATTTTTATGGTTGTTTTCTGAGCAACATCAAATATACCATGTATATCTCAAAACAACCTGGATACCTCAAAAATACCTCAAATATACCTTAAATTTTTGTAAGGGTATATCATCCCATTTGTAAAAAGGCGCAGCTGCCTATAGCTAAAAGAGAGCATGTCGGGAATTCTGTCTTAGGAGCAACCTCCGAAATACGCTCACGTGACATGAATTCCAGAGTAAAATGCTTTCCCCTTTTAAATTCTACCTATTTCATTTGATCGGTCTCATAACTATTTAAATTTTTTATTTGATTTTCCAAAAAAAATTTAACAGGATACTCTTTATTATGATAGTTATTGATTTCATGTAGTGTTTTTCGTCGAAGTAACTGTCTTGAAAAATGCCTCTAGAATTGAGGCATATACGTAATTCAATAAATTAATAACAATAACCATGGTCAAAAACATCTTCAGTGTAATAAAAACTATATTAATATTATTCAAGATGTAAAATTTTTTAACTTAATCGATTGATTTCGAAAGTTGTAAAGTTATGTAGTTATTTAAGTTTTCAAAATTTTTTTAGTCAATGAACATTTTACAATGAAAGGCCAAGTGTGGTTTCAAATTACAAAAGTAAAACTAGCCAACCAACTAGCAGGCGTTATTAATTAAGTTTAATTGTCGACGTTATTAATTAAGTTTAATTGTCGATTAACTTCCAAAAAAGTAGTCGATGTATCCTAAAACTTTTTAACAGTTTTTTACATAATCTAAGACTTAAAAATGTCTCGAAAATCCAGACATTTTTAGTCTGGCATCATACAAAAAAGGGGGGCGCAAACTCTAACTACGCCTCTGTAAGGAACTTCTACGGACGAGGGGGATTCAAGTTCACATTTAAAAAAAATTGGTATGGATGAAATGCTTGATAACTTTAACTCATAATTTTGAAGAAAGCGATAAGTTTCACTGGATGGACTGCATCAAAAGTGAGATAGTAAATAAACGAATCCTATAAATTGGTGTTTTCTTAAATCGTGCAATTACATGTAAAAAAAAAAGCAACTTCCGCCAGTAGATGACACTAAAACACTAGGTCAATGTTTCTCTCAATCCAGTGTAAGCCAATCAGATAATTTAAAAGTTCAGATAGACCTCGTTGCAGATTTGCCAGTCCAAATTAACCCTAAAACCATAAATAACATTTTTAATCGAAATTCAAACTATATTAGAATTTATCTGAGGCATAAAATTCTTCTAAATGTTATGTAGAAACTTTTTAACGAATATTAAAAAGTTTTAGGATATATCGACTACTTTTTTGGAAATTATTCTTCGACAGCTAAACTTAATAACGTCTGCTAGTTGGTTGGCTAGTTTTACTTTTGTTATTTGAAATTGATATTCTAAGATCAAGCAAGCGTTTAATCCAGTAAGATATTTTTATCTTAATTATTTTTTTATGTCCTTTAAGAAGTCTTACGTGAGATCTAATTAATTTAGTAAACATTCATTGTTGTGATTATACTGTTCAAAAACTTTCTTTTCTTAATTATTATTTTCATTCTAAATGCAAACTGTCCTAACGATTTTTAAACTTTCCAATACTTTATTTTACTACGTAAAAGAATATTAATTTGAAATTTTTTTCTTTTAAAATTCATAATCAATGCGTTTGAAAAGAAAATTTCTATTGTTCTCTATTTTATTAAATGATATTATATGCATTATTATTAATATTTTTTAAATAGCTTATATTTATTTTGCATGAAGAATAAACCATTTTATTGATTTGATTCAAATAAGCGCTTTGCAACGTTTTAATGTGAAATATTATTGTAAACCAAATTTTTCATCTACATTTTCTTGTCAGTTAATATTCCTGTTAGGTCAATACATTTTTCATTGGATTTGTGGATATGCATCAATGATTTTTGTATAGTTTCAATTACTAGCATGAGAAACTTTAAGAATATCGAAACAAAATTAAAAACTATTTATGATGGTAAATAGGTTACAAGTCTTTTTCATTTTATATATTAAATATAGTGTAACCTGTAAAGTCATATTTCAGTAATGATGAAAGAGGTTTTAGTACTAATTATTCTCTGATATTAAACTAATAGCAGAAATACAGTAAAGAGTACATGCTATGTGATTTAATTAAACTTGTGAATTACAATTAATTTTAGAACATTTTATTTTGGAGAATAATTTATTAAATCATACTTATATCATGCTACAAATATAACATAAAAATTTTAATGAGAAAATTATAAACAAATTCACTAGCCTTTTTATATTTTTAAGTTTTCTATTATTCTGACAAATTCATACTCATAAAGTGATACAGTAAAGTGTTATTAGTATCTATTATATGAAGATTAGCTCTTTCAAATGTATAGAATTTTATGTATAAAACTTCTTTAAAAAACAAAAATAAAAACTTAACAAAAAATACTGAATACTTTATTTTGTGCTGGAATTTCTTGAATATTTTATAGATTGTTCACATATCATAGTTAAAAAAACAAACAAATAGTTAAAAGTCAAGAAAACTTTCTCTACAAAATGTTTTTTGACTTTTTATAGTTCTTATCCTTTTTAACTTAAATTAATGAACAAGCTGTAAAGTGTTAAGGTTAAGGTTGTAAAGGTTATTTAAAATCAGCCAAAAATATTTTTGAATTATGAAACATTGTTTATTTAAACTTCATTATTGAAATCTTATTTTGAATTTATTATTTGACATCTTTTTTATGTTTATGAATAAAAATCTATTGATTGAAGAAAGAAAAAACATGTTTTTATGATGTGAATCCTCTTTCTATATAAGTCTTTGATCAATGAAATTTAAAAACTTGAACAATAACTATGCTTTTAACATCTTATTTGTGTGCAAACATTTAAAAAAGCGGCATTCAAAATCTGTTTTATTTATTTTATGTATGTTACGTACTTTTCTATGAAAAACATTGTAATTCTTGTCAAAAGCATATAAATCAACTCTTAAAATATCACAAGCAATTTAAAATGTTATATAAAAATTAGTATGAAAAATGAATGAAAAATACAAAAAAAAATTTATCAATAGGGTAGAAATATCATAAAATTATCAAAACATATCGTGAGTGGAACTCATCTTAAAACCAATTTTAATACACTTAAAATAATTAGTTGAATTATAATCATTGCTGTTTTTTTTTCTTTTTACCTTATTACATATCATAAAAATTATTTTTTTAGCAAGTCAACAAATAAATCATCATGATAATAGAGAATGCTTCAGAGCAACAAGATGAATATGAAGTGCAAGAACCTACTCCTGTTGAAGTTAGACCACTTTCTCCATCCAAATCTCCTCAATGTATAGTTTTTCCTTATATTGGACCTCCTGGCGCTGGTCCTGGTTTACTTGGTAGTAGACCAGGAGTTGGTAATATTGAATATCTTGTTGCATTAGAACAAGTAATTAATCTTTTACTTAAAAATTAATATTAACTACTAATAATTTTGTACAATATTTTCAAAATTGATTTTCTAGAATTGTATTTTCTATTTCACATTTTGAATATAAAAGTACAAAACCAAACCTTATTATTTATTTTTAAAAATCTAAGAGTTTTTATAAATGTGATGACATTTAACAATTCTTTCAAAATTAATGTGATTAAATTTCCTATTATTTTTCTTCAGTCATGTAAATTAATTGTACTAAAAATGTATAAGTCTATTGGTAGTATTTATCTCAAAAATTCATATCTTTTTCTATTATTTTACAGAACTATATTGTTTGTCTACGGTAAGAACTCCCTCCGCCAAAAAGTCTGAGGCCGTTTGCTGCTATGAACACAAGAATAGAGCATTTCAGAGAGGGTATCTCCTCTTCACTCTAGGGCTAACACACTAGATCAAAGAAAAATATTCCCTTTCTCTGGCTGTCCTGAGCCAAAACCTGTCCTAAATAATGGCCCCACACCCCTACTTGAAATAGTTATACCTCATTACCACAGTTCCAGACTAATGGCTGGGGATTTCTTATTTTAGACAAACTAAAAATTCTATTTATGTTATTCTGTAGCCTTCCATAAAGTTTAATGTAATAATGAAATAAAAAGTATTATTTTTTAAATTTTACAAGCTTTGAATAACATTATACCACAATTATCAAGTTTAATCTATTTAGAATGTTTAAGCACATAGGCTCACCTTGTATAACAAGTTCAAATGTTTATTGCAAAATATTTTTGAAGTCGTAAAAATGGAAGAAATTCTATTCCATTTTTAAAGAAACCAAGATGAACTATTGTTTCTGAAGCTACGATTATGTACTTTTCAAGCAAAGTGACTGGTATTTTATGTAAAGAGATAACTATTTTAAAGACAGGATTGTTATGTTGATTGACATAATGATCCGTAGGAAATCATTTTTACCTTTCATAGATTTATAGCATTTCATTTAAAAAAAATTTTTAAATTTCCAAATTCATAAGAGGAATAGTGATTTCGGGATGCATAAATATTATTTAATTCTGAAATTGTATTTATGTTCATCATCCAGGTTACACCCCAATGTCAACTTGCAGAGAATATTTGGTCCACTGAAAGCTTTTGATTTCATACAAATCTTCTTATATGTTGTAATGGTCAAAATCACTTTAAATCAAATTGATGATCAAACATTGTAGCACTTATTTTGCTATCACTTTAAACATTCTGAAAAAAATCTTTCAAGCTCTGTTTATCTATGTTTTATTTCTTTTATTAAGCTACTTTAAGTTTCTTAGCTAAGTTCTCAATTTAATAAATATAATGATTTCTATTTAAAAAAAAACTAGTTTCTAAGCTTTAAATATCGTTAACTAAAGAAAAAAAAAGGCATTCTGTAATATCCTTTATATTTAGTGTCTTCAATATCGCTCTTTACCTAAAACTCTTTTTATACCTTTAAAACTTATTAAAATATGTAAAGTATGCTTTTAACATGTTACAATGTAAACTATTACCTCAAGTTTATCTTTCTTTTTTTTTATCAGGCATGAGATTCTTCTGCCTTTTAGTAGAATTTCTGACTTTCTAAACTTTAGAAAAAATTATATTTTTAAACTTTATTATTATTTTATTCACTTTAACTATGATTTTATACACAAAATTTAATAGTTTGTTGGACTGATACTGTTCCTACTGGCGATCACAACGTTCGAATACGCCATCTTGGGAGAGACCGGTTTCATGCCTTTGGCCTTTCTCCCTTCCCTCTCCTCCTCTTTTCAGTCATATAGGAATGTACTACGATATTTTTCCTTTCTATTTAATAAAAACATTTTTAAAATTTATATGATACTTTTCTTTAGAACTATGTTCTCCCTTCCCTCTCCTCCTCCTTTCAGTCGTATAGGAATGTACTACGATATTTTCCCTTTTCTTAATATTTTTCCTTTTTATTTAATAAAAACATTTTTAAAATTTCCGTGATACTTTTCTTTGGAACTATGTTTAATGTAGTTTTCAGTTCCATATAGTTTTCCAACTTAAAAGATTTTAATCTATATTAAAATCAAGAGAGAAACTAACATACTTCCTTCCTCCACACGCTAATGGGGAAAGCATGTGAAGTGTTGCCGTAGGTAGAGAGTTCTGCTCTACGTCACCTGCAGCCCATTTTGATCGCCAATATAATAATAATTATAAAAACAGAATAACTATAGATAAGTATGTAAATCCTTTTAATGCTAAATAGTTGCACACATTTTTATTTATTTATTCATTTTTTTATGATTTCAAATTTAAGTTATCAACTTAAATATGAAAGGTAAATTTAAGTTAAGGAAATTTATGTTATTAAGGAAAGAAAGTTAATTAAGTTAAGGAAATTTAAGTTATCAACTTAAATTAGGTACCTATTTTCAGATTTTTCGTTCTTTTCCCACTCTCATACTACTTGATTTATGCTATTTTTGAACTATTAACGATATCTATTTGGTTTTTTTTTCCAGCATGCCACTAGTCTAAAGAGTGCCTTAGCCATAGCAGCATCTCTACAAAATACAAAGAACAAAAATGTAGACGTCGAAATAATATACGACTCCATTTATAACAGTCATGGTCAACTGAACAATAATTATGACATGTCTTCCAACCAGTAACATGTTTTTAAATTTCTTTTAATTTATTCATCACCTCACTTCAAATGACAATCCATTTTTAGTCATTTATCGTTTTAAACTTTCTTTCATATATCTGTTTAAAATTTGTAAAAATTTATCTTTTTGTTAGTCATTTTGCTTCATTTGTTAAAATAAGCACACAAAAAATACTTTTAAAAAGCATTTTACTTATTTTGCATTTTACAATTAAGTTAAGTCTTATTTCAATGCTTTTTATTATGTTAATTATAGAATATAATGATTCATCGTGGGCTTAAATTTTTCAATTTTAATAATTTTTAAGAAAGCGAATTTCTTATGGAACATTAGTAGGCTATCTTCTTATTTGAAGCTAATTTTTTTGACTATTTTATTCCTGTACAAAATAGAAAAAAAAATTGCTCACTATGTTTGAACTCTTACTCTTAAGTTGTATTGTAAAAGTAAACTTAGTGGATTTAATGTGATAAAAAAAAACCCAATTCTACTGATTGTAACTTTAATTCTATTATCACTCTCGAATCTACTATGATTTTATATGTATAAAAAAAAAAGTTTATTTTATTCTTATTCATTTTCGTTTAACTAAACTTAACAATACACTAAGGTTAATTTTATTTTGTTTATTTCTAGGTCAGGACTGTAATAAATTTAAACTTTTTTGAAGTTCTACTTTTTAAAAATTAGACTTTTTCTTTCTCACTATTGGAATAGTTGATATCATTAAACTACTTACGTTAATATAAGAACATAATTGCAATTAAAAAATATAAGAAACAATAATTAATTGGAATCAGTTTTGGTACTATTATAAGTTATTTCAATTTACTTTCAAAGAAGTCTGAAATTATTAAAACCGTTATGTAATGTAAGTAGGAATAGTTTACGTGGATTAATTATCTAACTTTCCAAATTTTTTAGAAAAATATATATAAAAGACCATTTTAATTCAAGGAAAAAACTTTCTCTTGGTTTTGATTGAAAAAATTTAGATATAACTGAAAATATATTGAAGTATGAATATGAGTTTGAGAGTATAATGTAAATTGTGACAGATAAGCTTGCTATGATAGGCAGAATATTTATAATTAAAGATGTGGGTGTATTTTTCAGATTTATGTTTGAAAACTAAATTATTGACCAAATTTGGTATTTATAGGGAATTTAATATTTATTAAACACAAAGTTCGTAATCAAAAAATATTTTTTTCAGGATAACTATTTATACCTCAATAAAACATGAAAAAAAACTGGCCATCATATTAGAAAAACAAAAATTACTAAATTGTTAGATTACTAAATGTTTGTTTTGTTTTCCGACTAATATACTCTTATAATGAAATTGAATATCATAACATAATTTATTTGCGAATTACAGCTAAATACAATTTTTAATTTGAAAAAACAAATGTTTGCAGTTATCTATAAAAGTAATGAAAAAATTCTCTGTGATTTATAAGAGTATTATCCAAATTTGGTTTATGGTTTGTTTATGAAGGTCAAAATACCCCTCTTAATTAAAAAATAGCTATAGTTTTAATTTATTTTAAATATACTGTCGGTCAGAAAGTTTTAATTGTCCAATTTAGCAATGCAATAAATAGTTGGTGCTAATGAGAAGAATTATTGTGATATGTTTTTGAGGATTATATTGCATAAATTCCTAAATGGTATAATACAGAATGATTTCTATTTACCTAATCGTTAATTTTTAAATATAACTACAAATACTATGCAAACTACATATTATTATTAAAAAGATTAACTGTTGATTTATTTATAAATAATTTTAAAGTATATTTATTTATAAATAATTATTTGAATTGCTTGTAATGTTGATTAATTGAAGGCCTTATTTGAATTGTACTTCGCTTTAAAAAATAATGAAGGTAGCCTGACATTTGTGTTCATAAAAGTCATTTCTATATTCGAAAACTAGTCTAGTTCAATCTTATTTCTGCTGCGAAACGCAGAGTACCAAAAAGGAAACAAGATAAAATTGATACACTCATTAGACTTTAAGGCTCTCTATTGCAAAATGAAGAAAAGAAGAGTTATCCCACTATTCAAGTAAGGCATTCAGCTGTATCACTAATTATGTGTGATCAATCAACAAATTGCCTTCCAACAAATTATTACTAAATACTATGATTAACTATAATAATTTGCTCAAAACATTTACAAATATATTAAGTGTGAAGTGTTTGTGTGTTATTGCAACGAAATATTTTTCTTTTTAAAGAAATGATTATACTGCTATTTTATAATTATATACTATGATTACCTTTTTGCTCAATGCTTATCTTTATATTTGCTCAAACTTTTTTCTTGGATATTTTTATATTTTATTAGTACTCTGAATATATTGGGTTACAAAACTTTCAGCTGAATACTTTTGTTCTTGTTGATAAGATATTTATTTTGCTTATAAATTTTAAACTACCTTGATAAAAAGTCATCAGAAAATTAAAAAAATTGTAATACAAAAAACTGAGATGAAAACTTAATTTTTTTTTTTTTGTATTTATAACTTAAATGTTGTTCTCCAGTTATTTTAAGTTATTTATTTTCCAGTTATATAGTATATTTAAAAATGACGTTAGAATAAATAGCAGCATACGTATGTTAGTTTTTATTTTACTATATTGATGCTGAAAACTATGCAATACATTGTTATCTCTGTCGCAATATATGTCTGTTGTGTACAGCAATATATGCAAAAATTACTTTGAAGAAAAAGGTTAATATTTTTTAAAAATTCTTTTTTACTAATTTATATGTGAATGATACAAAAAGTATAAATGTAATACAATCGTTGCATTTCTATTTATTAATATTACTTGCATTTAAAATTTAAATTATTGTTTTATGTATAAAAATATTTTTAAACATCAAAACAGAGTGAATGTGTCAGTTTAAAGAGCTATTCTTAATTTACATATAAATTACAGGATTAGTGGCAGCTTTAAAGGTAAATTTCAAACAGTATTTTTATAAATTAACTGATTATCTAAATTTTGAAGAAGAAAAAACATAAATAGGGTGTTCAACATAAAGAAAAATTCAAGTTGCTGAAAATAATTGGCAAATAAACATTACGTAAAGGAAATTAAATTGAAATAAACAGTCACTTTACTAAAATGCAATTCAAAAGAAATAATATGTTTAATACTTGAATAAGACATAAACTAAATTAAAAAAAAAAAAAAAANGGTTAATATTTTTTAAAAATTCTTTTTTACTAATTTATATGTGAATGATACAAAAAGTATAAATGTAATACAATCGTTGCATTTCTATTTATTAATATTACTTGCATTTAAAATTTAAATTATTGTTTTATGTATAAAAATATTTTTAAACATCAAAACAGAGTGAATGTGTCAGTTTAAAGAGCTATTCTTAATTTACATATAAATTACAGGATTAGTGGCAGCTTTAAAGGTAAATTTCAAACAGTATTTTTATAAATTTAGTGATTATCTAAATTTTGAAGAAGAAAAAACAATAAATAAAGTGTTCAACATAAAGAAAAATTCAAGTTGCTGAAAATAATTGGCGAATAAACATTACGTAAAGGATATTAAATTGAAATAAACAGTCACTTTACTAAAATGCAAATCAAAAGAAATAATATGTTTAATACTTAAATAAGACATAAACCAAATTAAAAAAAAACTTAACTGTATAAAATATCAAAAAGGTGATTAATATTTACTTGCTAGCACATAGAACCATTTTCTACCAAAACTCAAAATATATAAAGTAAAATTTTATTTATGTAATGGAATAGGCATTTACTTCTTTTTAAAATAAATTATATAATTTTAAATAATAAAACATAAAAATTGATATTAGTAAACATAAAAATTTGTTTCATGTTTATTAATTTATTAAAGAGTAATAAAATTATATATATTTTTGCAGAATTAAGATGGCAAGACTTGCAAAAAGAAAAAACAATCCAAGCATTTCATGAAACTTAGTAATATAGTATGGGTTTAAAAATGATTTAAGGCATTTTAATTTTGAACAAAAATTCTCAACTTCATATAAATATTATCAAGCTAAAAGAAATACTTATAAATATTCAAATAATTTCTGTTGCACTATAAATCAATTGTTAAATATTGTAAGCTTGCTTTAATAATTGAGTTTAATAAATACATAACAAATAGATAATTAATGCAAAAATAATGCTTAAAGCACTTTTAAAAAACATATTGTCTAAAGAAATATAACAAAAATCATCACTATGTGCATACTATTATTGTAAGAAAATATGAAATTAAAAGAAAATATGAAGTCTTAATTTCTTATTAAAATGGTTAGATCCATCTATAAAGCATTCGAAATGAAAACAAATTATATTTAATGTTATTCCACTTTCAGATATATCATTAATGTTGTCAACATTGTTTCTTTTCATTATACTTCAATATTTCTCATTTGCTGTTGGCCAAAGAAAAGTGTATATATAAATATTATTTACCGATGTTGTGCTAAGAGTATTTTGTAGTTTATTTCTATTTAAATGTTTTACATATTTATGGCAATTAAAATAATGTGTGTATAGTAAGTGTGTGAATAATACTATATTAAGGATTAGTACATTCTATAATTTATTCAGAATTATGTAATATCTTATCATGGTAGACTGTAGTTATTTATGATGTGTAAGTGAAGATACTTTTTAGGAGTTTGTTTCAATGAATTTATGACATAGAATGTATGTATCTGGATCCTCTATAATATGTTATAAGTTAAAATTCATACATAGTAAATTACTCTGAAGTTTTTAAATCTTTACTAAATAAAATTAGAAAGTTTCCCTGCATTCTCGTGGTGATTTTCACATACATTACATGCTTTTTCTTGGAACAAAAAAAACAACCTTTCTATGATAATCAATTTGGAAATTTCATCTCACTTTCCTTATTTTATAGATAACAAAATTAATTAAAAAACAGAAACATAATTTAAATTTTTAAAAAAATATACCATTTCTAATATAGTGAGAAATGTAAGATTTTCATTGCTTTATAGAAAATAATAGTGTTCTGTTAATATGATTATGTTCTAATAACTAAGCGACAATCCTAACTTCATCATTTTTGAGGCACCACTTAATTTAAATTTAATATAGAGGAACTCACACCATCGAAATTTTATCCCCACAAAACATAAATAATTTTTAAAATCTGTATTATCAGTTCTCAACTTTTGTGGAAAATTGTGTATGAATCCAGCTTGAATCAATAGTATTGCAATTTCTATTGCTTTTTTTTTGGGGGGGGGGGTAAATCTTATAAGTAAAATGCTTTATATTAAAATAAAAAAATTATCACGAGTCAAAAATGAAGCACAATTATACAAAGATGGGCGTTGTATTTCCCGATTCTTAAGTTTCATTTGTTTGTGATTAAGAAACATCAAGATCTAGAGGTCATAGACATTTTTACTGCAGTAAATGCAAATTTTTACCCAAATAAGTGTTATGAAAATTTATTTTAAAAAATGTTTTTAAATTTAACTATACTAGAAGTAAAAAAAAAGTTTAGTCAAAACCAGTACTATAATAAATTTAATTTATTTATTTTACTATATGATGATTTTACCTAGTATATTAAAATGCATTAGAAAAAAATTTATAATTATTGATTAATAATTGGAACTCTTTAAGGAATAAATTTAATATTTAACAATTCTATACATTTAAGTACTTTATAAGGTTGATAAGTAAATAAGGGTCTAAATCAAGGTGCATAGCGTTTTTGAAAAGTGCTTATTTTCGATTTTTAAAAGCCCTTAAAGGTGCTGTTTTCATTGGGTGTTTTTAAACAGTGCTTAATTTTCCCTTTTCCAAATTGAGATTTTTTCTTTAGCATGTTGATTTTCGTCACGAATTATGCAGAAAGACACTGTTCACATTGTTCTATTCAACGTTTTCACAATTAATCCAACCCCAACCTATTTCGGCGCATCGATGAAAACGCCTGTTAATTTACATGATTCAAAAATTTTGACAATTGTAAAAAACAATGCTAAAAGAATTTTTTTCCGACATGACTGTTAAAACCAGATAAAATCGTCAATTGTCAAAAACTTTCCAACCCTGCCTAATTATGATATTCTTTTAAAGTGCTTCAAAATATTATTAGAATGCTTGAAAAGTTCTTATTTTTGGTTGAATAATTTGGCTACGCACCCTGTGAATGTTAACATGATAAGTATAGGAATTGAAAAACTACAATAAGGATGGCAAGTTTTATTTGTTTGATATGTACAGTCATAACAATTCAACAAAATAAGGAACAGCACTCATAATACTTCATAGGATACTTAAGCATCCACTTAATTCACAGAGTAGTATGCATTAACCGGGAGATTATATTTTTAAAGAAAGCCAACTCACTAACAACTAATTAACAAGCCAGTGTAAATTTGTACATACACTGCATACATACTAAAAACAATACTGAGAATAGGAAAAAAATGTAACATTCTCGCATCATTATATGCAATAATTTGATTTATTACAATAACTGCTGATGGAAAATTTTATTAAAAAATGCTCTTCAACGTCAAACGTTATTTTTAATAAAATTCATCAAAAACAAAAGTTGAGATTTATCAATTGTAAAACATATGTTTTACCACAGCTAAAACTTTCATAGATTTTTATCAGGAAAGTCATGAATACAAAAATAACAAATACAAAAGAATTTTAAAATTTAGTTAGCAAATATCTGATATTCGTAACTCTTGCAGTAAGCCAACAGAATAAATGAACAGGAATATTTTAAACATACTAAAAACACTATGCTTTAATTTAATGATTTTATTTTTAAATTGTTTATAATTTTTCTTCTATGACAAACTTATAAAATACAAATACTATACTCACAGCTTACAGGAAAATTTATTTTATGTTATCAAATTTCCTATGCAAAATAAAATTGCTTAACTCACAATGTGCCAATCAGGTTAAGACAGTGAGCTTAGAAATACTAACACTGTAACTACTTCTTTACAAAAAAAAGCAAACCTGGTGTAACTGAAGCTCCACATAGAAAATATAATATTTTTTTTTAAAAGTTGTTACCACTCACTGTACACATGAATCAGCAATATGTCTGACAAGGAAGAAAAAAAGTTTTCTTTCAAAAAATTGTTACACTACTCGGCAGATCAGCAGTTAATGACTAAGTTAATGTTCCTGTTTTAATAACTATAAAATTTTATGTTATGTTGTTAAAACAAATTATCTAAAGGAGAACCATTTCGCAACTTCTCCTTTAGTTTTAAATAATTAATATTTAAAAGGACACTAATATTATAAACAGAAAAAAAAACTTTTTTTTTAAATATTTAGCCATCTTTTTTTTATTTTATTTTATAAAATCTATATTTTTTGATGATTATATTTATATATATATAATCTTTTAAAGAATAGAATTTATATATTTAGTAAAATGCAACATTTGATGATTTTATGGCTTTTCTAGTGATTCAAAAATTTTAAAAAGCATGTTTTTATAACTGCTATATTTATTTGCAAGCAATTCAACTTAATTTTTGATGTTTTATAGGGTAAATTTTGAGATATCAACTTGAGTAACTATTTAACTTTTCCAAAAATTCTTTAAATAAAATTACAGAAAAGTTTGTCAAAACCTTGAAACATAAATAATAATTTTAATTTAAAAAAAGTCATTTTTTTACAATGAATATACATATATATATATATATAGTTTTAACCAGATGGAGTACATAAACTCGTTTAATAACTAGGAATTTTTATAAAACAAACATTAACATGTGTTAAATAATTTTTGAGCGGGAATTGATCAACAGTCAGTAAATTTTCAGTAAAATATATTATAAATTAAAATATATATTTATTTATATTTCCAAAAATCGAAATGCAACCCCAAAACTGACTGAAAACTCTATTTTATAAAATAAATCATTTATAACTACAAGATGGAATCATCAAGCTTATCAAAAATACACTTATTGCTATACTAAATATTTTAACACCATTTCACAAAATATATCTAGGCACTTATACTGCATAACAGGGAACCTTAGAGCAAATAATCATTCACAGGTAAATGAAAGCATTTTATAGTCTAAATCTACAGTATGAGCTGCCAATCAATCTGTCAATAAATTAGAGAAAAATATAATAATAAAACACTGGATAAAAACACGAACACAAATGTTTTATTTAGCAATGTACCAAAACATAGAAGAGATGTTTTAAGAAAGTAATACTAATACTTGTAATAATACAAATAAAAACTTGTAGAATATCATGATTGAATATTCTCAATACCATTTCTAAAGAAAAAAAAATTAAAAACATATTTCAATAATAAAAAAAACAGAGATTCTAAAACTAAAAAGAAAGGAAAAAAAATGTGGATTTCAATTGAGGTGATAAAAAAAATTTTTAATAATGAAAATGAGTGAGATGCAATCAAAAGCCCACATGATGATGTAAAAATAATACTTTAATATACGCCCTTAAAGCAATAACATGAAGAATAATAACACTTGTTTTTTTAATCTTTTTCATCAATTTGTAATTATTATAAAAGTAATGAAAAAATGGAGATATTAAAAAAGAAAATTACTAGTAAAACACATACATTACTTGAAAAATGACACATACACTACCTGAGATAATTGGTCATCAAGATATGGTCTGTGTATGTTTCAGAACAAAAAAAAAAATACAAAAGTAAACAAACAAAATGAAGAAAACGAATGCTTAATTTGTGAAATTTATTTAGTGAAATCACCTCTCTGTTTCTAAAAAAATTAAATAAATAAATAATAATAAATTTTTTTAACAAAAGCAAAAAAGAGAATTATTTAAACTATATCAAATTTTAAAAACTTGATGAGCAAGCATTACATACTTAAATTTTATTTACAGAAATACCACATTAATATTTTCAAGAAAAAGTTAATTTTTTTGGAACATCTATTGAAGTAAATATGAGGTAAATTTGTAAGAAATAATTTTAGTTAATAAGATTTATAAAATTTATCTAGTTTTTAGTTTAATTACAACATTTTATACAAAATTATATAAAATTTATACTACAATTTAAAATAAATTTATACTTTATAAGAAGAAATAAAAACTAATTATAACATTTGGTTTAAGAAAGATGTCTTCAGTTAGAACAGAATAAGTTATGAATTAAGCCTTTTTAAAAACATAACTTTAAAAATTCCTTAAACTATAAATACTTTTAAAAATTCCTTAAAAATACAAATTTTAATATTTTTCGATTAATTAAATAATTTTAGAAATTAAACATACTTAATTGCTCAATATATAACAAGTATGCCTTTCTAATCAAATCAGCATATTTTATAGTATTCTTGAAGAGCAAAGGCTTTTAAAACCATTTTTTGTATTATATAAGTAAATTTAATATATTTTTTTTTCAAGATTACTTGGTTTAACAGATAAACAAACAGATTATTTCATTAAACAAATAAATTCTTTCATCAAATAAAAATAACAATTTAAAAAGAAAATTCAGTGGGACAAACAAGTGAAATATATTCCCTGTTTATTATATCACATGACATAAAATTGTTTTAGCTAAAAAAAAGTACCTCAAAGTACACAGCAGTTTTAAAGATAAAATATCAACGAAAATTTAAAAAATAGCATGTTGTTTTCTACTTGGGACTAGATTAATAGCTAATAAAAATATATTCACGCCTACAGATAACAACTTTAATTTATAAAATATTAAATGAATTGCAAATATCCAAAACAAACTTTAAAATAAATAGACATAGAAAATAGCTAGAGGCACCTAAAATGTGCAATACAAATATACACTTGCCATTAAGAATAAGAAACAAATGCATTTGCATCATTATGCTTAAAGCAAGAATTGGTATTTACATGGGCTTAAGTGGAAACGGTATATAGTCTATGCCTGAAATAGTTTTAGTTGACTTTTTTCTTTACACCATTTATACGGTCTTGTACCATCTGTTGTTCTTTAAGAGCCCTTCTTTTTGCAACTTGTTTCTGATGTTCTTTTTCCATATCATGCTCACTAATGTTCAATTTCAAAACCTGCCATTTTTTTTTTGAAAATTAGACAAAAAAATTAATTATTAGAAAACATAAATTAGGAATTACTCTGACATAAATTAATTTTATAAATATTAACAACATTTCATTTGAAACCAGGTATTCGTTACTAAAATAAATATAGTACCAGAAACAGCGATTTCTAAACTACAGCACAAGTTAATGGGCATTGAATGATAGATGTGTATAATTGCAGTTTATTTTAACTATATTATTAAATTTACATCTAACTAAAAATAATTCAGAAAAATTACGAAAATAGATGTGTATAAGAAAATTAAACATTTTAACAGAAACTAAAAATATGACATTTGTTTTAAAAAATTACAAAGAGTGTTGCATTTTTTTTTCAACATGAAAATTACAGGTTAAAAATAAAAATTTGTGCAGAGTTCAAAATTGTGTAGATAAGATAAGTTAGACAGAGGGAAAATGAATCAAAATACTCAAATATCTTACAGAAGGAAATAAAAACACTAAGAGAACTTCTCAAAATAATCCCCAAACTAAGGGAAATGAACAATTTTTCTAAAGTTAACAAGTTTCTAAAGCAGAGGGTAATCTTTTCCACCCCTAATTAGGATTTACAACTTATACTAGGGGTGCACAACCTTTTTGAGGGAAGGGCCACATGCACAGCAGATTGTCTAATGAGGGGCAGCATGCCCAAATATTTAGACTGCAATTGTAGGTAGTTCTAGGCATTTTTTTAAATCACGGGGAAAAGCGTGATAATAACTAATAAAAAACCATCAAAATCCTTCTATATTTATTTACGATGAAATCGGTGTAAATAAAGTGCGTCAAACAGTGATGTATTTAAATGCGGGATTCAAAATTAAAGTGTCGTAATAGCATATAAAAAATATCGAGACTTTCAAAATATTGTAGAAATGTGTAGCAATAATTACCCAAATAACGATTGAAAAAAATAATTTGATTTTTCAATAAAATCAGCACGAATAAACCATGTCAAAAAATGGTTATCTAAATGAGTGATTCTTTACACGCGATTTGTAATAATATCGTGCTTAAGTATCAGCATTATTTTAAAAACCACGAGAAAATATCGGCCACGAAAAAACCACACAATTACTGACGAAAAAAGGATCAAAAGTAATTTAGATTTGCTATAAAGTTAGTGAAATAAAGCGTCTCATAACTTTCAGAAATCGCGATTTCGGAAACTACGTGAAAATGGGTAGCAATAACCACCGAAAAGTCCGTTTATGATAAATCCTCACACACGAAGAGCAACAAAAGTGACTTCGAAATTTGTGTATCGTAATAATGACGTATTAAAGATTTTCAAAACTCTTCTTAAATCTGTGGCGTTAACCATTGACAATAGCGATAAAAAAAACTACGATGATTGAGATTGGGTACGTCAAAAACTTAAATTTCAAATATTTTTTAAAATTTTTTTGTTCAGATTGCGCCTGCGGGCCGCACATCAAGGGTTGGAGGACTGCATATGGCCCGCGGGCCGCAGGTTGTGCACCCCTAACTTATACCTTTGGGAAAGAGTCAGCATAATCCTCAGACAAAAAAGTTTGAGAAACACTCAACTAGAAAATTATTAATTTGAAATTTTTTTTTATATGCTTGAAACAGAATTTCGTTCTAAAATAATAAAGCCTACTTCCGCAATACAATACATGAAAAATATTGTTGTCCTAATTTTATGTCTAAACAATGTCTTCAACACTATATAAAAGCTATGTTATATTTAAGCTTATATTTCTAAAAACTATTCAGTACAAATATGGGATTAAAAATTATTAAAAGGATAATGATAAAAAGTATCTAGCTGATAACTATCCTTATATAGTCATAAAATAGCTTTGTTTGAATACGAGGCCTAAAGATTAGTTTAACTCTAGTCCTAAGTAAGTGCAAAAATAATTATGCTGTTGTCAATCCAGACATATCATTTCTGAAAAACATGTTCTATATTAGAACACATCGTGACACACAAAGAGGACATGTATCAATTGTTCTAAGTAGGTGAAGGATAGGTTTAAGGTTTGTTTGGGCATGGAACGCTAATTTTTTCACCTTCAACCATGGAGGATGCAACTGTGCTTATCATTGCACAAACTTTTGGAATTGCAGTTTTTGATTTGCAATACATGCAGTGAAGTATACTGCTTCATATGCAAATAATCACTTCCAGGACAATAAATACTGAGTCCTTTAATAGAATGACCAAGATTTCAAAAAGGTAACTGCTCAGTTTAAATTGAACGAATCCATAATTTTTTGATAAGCAGCATCAATTTAGTGACACTGGCTTTCATTGGTAACAGCCAGTGTCAACAGGGCAGAAATAGAGAACTTAATTTTGTTAACAATCTTTTTACTATGTAAATCCTGTAAAGCAGAGTGCCATATTAGTTGGGCCAACATGGCAATTCAAGGGGTTCTTTCTACATGCAGATAATCTATTACAATGGATGTTTAAAAATAGAGCCCTGAAAATATGGTTAAATACTTGGCCATGGTTGGATGACAGAGAATTTGTAAATTTAAGAGCCATTCAACAAGGAGAACTTAGCAACCACAGGGTATTTTCTGCTACAAACATAATCATTTACAAACAAATATGCCAATTTGCTGGCTCAACATTTTGGCCAAGTGTTTGCATTCTTAAGGAATATAGTTAGTAACTGCATTTGCTTAATTTAATTTGCAGGGAGTTATGTTTTGTAATATATCAAGTCATCTGTGCTTATTCATCTAATAATGTTTACATGCACTGTGAGTATCTAGATGTTCTGATTTTGTTACATGAATAAATCTATTTAAAATTATTATGCTTATCTTTCTCTGTTCAGAAATGTTTACTGTCTTTAGATTTTGAAGATAGGCAAATATTTTTAATTCTTTTTAAGCACATTAACCTTTAAGGTATGTTTCAACTAAAACAGGTATTTATATTAAATTTTTTAACTTCAAAACAGATTACAAGCTTTTTTTCATTTACTATTTAAAATTGTGAAGGCACATTGGTAATATAATATACCAACATTATTAAACAAAAGTAAATCAGCTTAAAACAATATTAAACACTAAATACAATGATTTAAAATACTAACCTGGTCGATGAGATAATCTTCTTGTAGATATTCTGGTGGAATATGCCTCAAGCATTCAAGCGTCTCATACATTGATGGGCAATTTTTTAATGTTTCAGATTTGCTGAACACACTTCTTAAAATGACAAGAGCAACTTTGAATAATACTTTGATTCCTATCAAACAAGTAAATAGAGAAAGTTAACTAGTTTTACATAGTTACCATTTATTCCAGTTAGAAAAGAAAAAATCTCAATGCTATATTTTACACAAACATTCAACTAAAAACCAGTTTCTCAATGCACTGTATTTCGTGTAAAAATTGCACTGAAATTGAACATTTTTAACCTAACTTTATACATTATAAAAAAATAACACATTTCGCACTGTAATTATTCTGAACTTCAAATAAATTAATATAGAATTACTTATTGAGAGTCACAAATACATCTGAAACTTTATGAAGTGATCATTTAAACTAGTTTTTTTTAACACAGAACTAGTTCAAGCTTTTTCCAAATGTTAAGGGGACGGCTTTCCTGAATCAATAAAATCAATTTCTTGCATAATAATCTCTATATAAAAAAAAAGCGTGCACATCAAGAATACTTTAACACAATTTTGCATAGATTTTCTAAGCCTGGAGGGCTAAGCTGAGTTCAGGATAGTACCTGATTGGTGTTCTGGATATTGTATAAGCTTTGATAAATACTCTAGTTGTCAATGTATTTATTACAAGAACTACACTAATGGGTTATTAGTGAAAATCTCCGATGAATGCTTAATGGTGATTGGAAGACATTGTAGGCCCTTGGCTTCCATACATTACAGCAGTTTTTTGAGGGTAGATGGTGGAAGTAATCATATGACCTCTTCATCTCGGCCACCAACAGTGCATGAAAATGTCCGGCTCTATGACCATTAAGGATACAATAGAGTGAATTTTGAATCACTTAAGACACGATTAGATAAACTGCAGCAAAATTATGCACTTAAATATAATGAATAGCAAAATTTGCTTTCCAAAGTAGCCTATAATATCTTTTGGGTTGGCCAGACCTGTTTTAAATCATATTTAGAGTAACACAGCAAAACGCACTCATATAAATAATGACTAACATAACATTTAACAAAAAAAGCAATAATAAAATAAAGTTAAAAAAATATTATAATAATCTGTCATAATATTGATAAAGAATTAATCAATACCTTCACAAAGAAACATGTCCCAAACTCTTAATACAGTTGACCATGGTAATGTTCTTGAAAAGGCACACATAAACCATTCTGTCATATAAAGAATAGGCTCTATTCTTTGCTTTTTCTAAAATAAGTAATTAAATATAAAACTAAGCATTTAAATTACAAAAATTGAGGTAAAACAAATGTTAAAGTCTAGAGTTGTCTGTAGCAAATTGAAATATTTGCTTATAATAATAATTAAAAGAAAAAAAGAAATAAAGAAAAATAATACATGAAAGCAGAAATACAGTGATGTTGTAATAAGACATATTGCAAAAAACACCCATAAATTACATTTACATCTTAATAAGCTAAAAAAAATGGTATACAATCATGCAATCAGTAGTTATAAAATTATGATACATAAAATTAAACGCATTTACATGATTTAAAATACTTAATATGTTGTATAAAAACAAAACAAAAAAAACAATATTTTTAAAAAAAATTTAAATTTTGACAAATTTTACTTTAAAGCATGAGTAACAGAAAATACTAAACAATTAAAATAACATTTCATTAAGCAATGAATAGTAAATAATAATGATAAAACAATTCAGACCAACAAAGTCTGAAAAACAACAACATGTTATTGCCAAAAAAGTACATGTAAAAACATGCAGTTGTTAAGAACACAATTTGGCTTTGCTATTTTTCAAAACTATGATGTAATATGATATGTGATAGATAGCTATGCTAGTTTTACTGGCAACAAAAAATTGAGTCACATTATGTGAACATGTTATTTGTGCTACTGCTCATGTCAATAAAGTGTAGCCCAAACAACACTTTTTTAAACATTAGTTTCTTTTATTAACATTTTATTAAATGTTGTAATTTTCAAACTCTTATAAATTATGTAATGGTATAATACTGATAGAAACATACATTTTCTAATAACAAGACTACTCCTCATTTTGATAGTCTCTTCAGCTTCTTACTTAGTCTTTGCTTTGCGTTTATTTTGTGGTGATACACCACCCTGGGATATACGCCGCACCCTTAAAATTTGACTAAAAAGGAAAAGTTTGCTATCAGAAAGGCCGTACTACCGGGTACACCACACCAACGGTTACTACATGATCAATCGGGGGGTCAACGCATCTGTTACAGATAACAAGTTATATACAAAATAACTTATTAAATGTTTAAAACTCATTAAAATAATTTTTAAATATACAATAAATATATGATAGTACTTAAAATCAGAAATTAAGTATTTCAATAATTTTCATCATAACTTTTCAAATATATGCAAAATTGTACCATGTACAATTCAAATGCAACACAATCTCAACCGCATTATGTTAATAAATACTAATTATTGTGATGAAATAAATTACAGTTTAATCTTCAAATACAATATCTAAAGTTAATATCAAAAAATTAAATAAAAAAACGACTTACTAAATGCTTATGAATTGAAGGGGCAACTTTTTTAAGCAAACCGAATAAAATATCCCCATCAATTTGAATGGCTTCCTGTAACAAAACGGTATCATTAAGAGAAGAAATCAACAATTTTTAAGGATGAATAGTTAAGATGAATATAAACAAAGATAAAAACTGAGTCATATTGGTTCTAAGACTAAAAAATCTTTTCAAAAAGCAGGTTATTTTCTTTGGTTTACAATTTAATTAACAGTATAACACCAATGTAAAACACATAATTATTTGTCAAAAATAGAATGCAACATTTGAAAAGTTAAAACCTAAATTATATTTTTGTACTAAAAAATGAATCTCAAATAATTTTTTATGAAATAATGTTTCATTAAGTGTTTAAGTTAAAGCACAATGCTATATATAACTATAAGTATTAAGTATTAAAAAAGATATACATATTCACTTTTTTTTAAAAAAATTTATAACAGAACAGTATAGTAAATCTTTAAAATCAAAAAAGGAATCAAAATCTTACTAAGCCTGGACTGTAATAACCAGGTAAGTATTTATCACATATTGCTACTAAACACCAAAATGCGTGTTCGGCAGGCATATGCATTAATAATGCAGCTGCTATAGGTGCCTGAGCTTGACAATAACCCACCAATGGATTAAATAATGAGTATGCTTTCAATATTCGATACAGGTCAGCTTGCCTAAAATTAAAAAAAAATAGAATAAATAACTGAAAGTTAAGTTCAAAATTATTAGTATTTGATAATTATACATTTAAAAGATGTTTTTTAAACATATACTTAAATTCATCATTCTTTGCACACTTTAAAATCTTAAATTACAGTCGAAGAACGGCCACAAACACTAAAAAATATTTTAAAAAATATGGATTTTTAAACTAGAGTAATTTTATTGAATTTCCCCAATTTCTGTAAACTGCTGAAAAAAGTTTTATTATTCAGTTATGTCTCATTTCCATACCTTAATCTATTACAAAACACTTACACTTGTAATTAGAGTTAAAAGAATATTAAAATAAAATTATGAGACCAATATTTTTGGCGGAAAATATTGGATTTTCAGGTTCCGCAATAACTAATTTATTTACCCTGACTTTTAAGATATTTGAATGGAATTCTTTGTTCTATAGCCACCCTGAGTTTTTTAAAGAGATAAATAAACTTCAGTTATACAAAAACTTAGTAATTAAAATTGTACTTAATTTATGCAACATTAGCCAACAAAATATGAGGGGTAAAAAAATCATAAGAATATCAGAGGATGATTATTGAATATTTTTGAACAAGGAATCTGTGACCATAAAGAACATAACATGAAACTTAGTAATGCTGATGCATTTAACATTTATTGAATATTAATTACATTGGCAAAAAGGGTGTTGTAAGGGTTTATGCCAAATGAAAATGTAGTGTAATATACATAGAAAATAATAGATTTAATTTTTTTCCACCTGGCTTGATATACAAACTATCTAAAAAAAAATTCTAATATTCAAGACAGTCTAGGTTTTTACTTTTTGGGGCGCATTTTTAAAAAAATAAATAAATTGTGAAAGCAAAAAATTATTTTTGTGAAAATTTTGTAGAATTGTATTAGATAAAAAAATTCTTTATATTACTATTAATTTGAACTAGACTAGAGAAATAAATTCATATAAGTACAATATTGAAAATAGTTTCCATTAAATGTAAATTTTATTGGGCACTTGTAATCATTAAAATAGATAAAAATGAACTGATTGGTATCATAAAGGACAGTTTCTAAGAAAGTGTTCAAGTATTGTGTTTAATAATCTGAATATGATAACATTAACCAGAAAATAGAATTTTTTTTTATGTATGTCATAATGAGGGCTATTTATAGAATTGTATAAAAAAAAGTCTATTCATGGTCAGATTAACCCGCTGGCAGTTTAGAAAATGAGCAAAATTGGGAGAATGTATCTCCCTGATACACTATTTCCTTACCTAATAACATTGGAAAAACCTGTTATGCTATGCGGAGAAGAATGAAGGTTAAAATAAGACTTTTTACATGCATAATCGCCAATGGGTTGAGAAAGGCCTAATAGGAAAAAAAACTTACCCGTGACCTTGAGAGTTAACAAAAATTTCATGAGATGGAAACTGACGATGAAGATCTTTTTTAATGTCTTCAACACACCTAGGGTCACCTTCAGATCCGTCAAGTTCCTGAAAAAATGATTTTATAAAAACATTCATTAGTCATACTAGTTTTAAAATTTAGGTATAAATTTACCCATCCTTAACGAAATAATTAGTGAGAAACCCTTTTCTTATTTCAAATGGCGGGGGATATAAACAAATACCACAAAGAACAAAAAACATAGAAAGAAAACCAAAACCATCGCCTTTTGCATTTGATTCTTAGATTCCTTAGAGTCACATAGGTGCAGGGTTGGGTTTTTGACGTCAAAAAGTGGTTTTTGACATGACAAGGGTATAATACTGGTTTAAACCGTCAAAAACCCGTCAAAAATGTCAAAAACTAAAGTTTGCCAAAAAAAATATATAAACTTCAAAACTACCAACAGTTGCCATGCATTATATTGAAATTTAATTATACTATAGGTAATCAGCAGGTTTTAAAATATTTTTTAATTAAAATTAAGGTAAAATAACAGATTTAAAATCTCAGAAATTTATATTCAAATGCATGTGC